TTTGTTTGAGACTGCATCTTGCTATGTAGCCTCCACTAGCCTTAAACTCAATATAGCTGATTTTGGCATTGAATTCAAGGCAGTCCTTCTGTCCAGGCTCCTAGAGTACTAGGATTTTATTGCTACTTTGGAGTTTAGACTTCAATCACAAGGCCAGAGCAGGGAGCCAGGCATGGTGGCTCACACTCATTTGGTTTTTAAGTATCCGTTTTATGTGTGAGTGCATGTATTAACATCATATGCAATGTCATACTCCCAGAGCCAGAAGAGGTTGGCCGATCTCTGTGGACCTGGAGTTACAGGTGGTTGTTACCTATGCCGTGTGGGTGCTGGGAAGTGAAGTCATAACCTGGGAGTGGCTCACACTTGTAATTCTGTTGCTTAGGAAGTAGAAGGAGAAGGATCAAGCCATCTTTGTCTACATAGTAGAGTATAAGGCCAACCTGGGCTACAAGATGCCTTGTCTCAGAAAAGCCCAAACCTATCAAAACCAAAACAAAACAAAACCAAAAAACTGGAGGGGGAAGAAAATTAGAGGGCATAGTCAAACCGTATGGCTAGCTTTGGAAGAGCTGGTCTGGTGAGTGTAGGGGAGAAGAGTTAGAAAGATAAAAATGTGTAAATTAAAAAGCTTAGTAAATTTGTACAACCCCATTGATGGAAGTAGGATTTATGAAATTCTAAAGTTTCAGAGAAGAAATAACTGAAAATAACGGCAAGTCTGTGGGTGAAGTGGTCCTTGGATGCGCCGGGTACAAGAACTCAAGGGTGAAACTGGTTGGGGGAACTGCTCAGTTGGCCAGGGATGCAGTTCCTAGGAGAGGCTCACCTGTGGTTAAAGCCATTCAGTACTGTGGAATGGAGGGGAAAAAACTATGGCCAAGTGGGTTACCAGATTGAGTGAAAGCTAGCCTGAGCTTAAATTTGTTATCCTTCTGCCTCAGCCTCCCTGATGCTGGGAGTTGGGCTTTAGATTTCTTTTCTGATGACCTGGGGTTTTGTGCAAACTACAATTCTCAGTCCTAGATTTGGGGTGTGTGTGTGTGTGTGTGTGTGTGTGTGTGTGTGTGTGTGTGTGTGTGTGTATGGGATGCACCATACCTAGGTCCTAGACTTGTTTTTGTTGTTGCTATTTATTTATTTGTTTATTTATTCTGGCTGGCCTGAAACTCACTATATAGACCAGAGCTCCATCTGTTTCTGCCTAAATTTTGGTTTTAATTGAGAAAGGAACACTTTGAAACATGGCCTATATAGTAATAACTATATAAGGAAGAAGATTGCTTTGTCTGCTCGGTTCAGCTTTAGTAGTTTGACAAATGTCTTTCTATACATAAGAAAAACAAAAAGTTGAGGATTTTTACAAAAAAGCCGAAACCACACCGTTTAGAGAACATTGTTCCTAAGAATATGAATGGACTGCCCTTCAAGTCAGTATTTAACTACATGTGTATTTTATAGTGTTCTGTGATCTGTTGGTAACCTTTAAAAGCACTACAGAGCATGTTTTAATACAGCAAAAATTTTCCATTGTTGTATAGCTTGTTCAGAGGCTGGGTGTGGTGGTGCACATCTTTAATTCCAGCACTTGGAAAGCTGAGGCAGGTGGATCCCCATGAGTTGGGAGGCCAGCCTGGTCTACAGAGTGAGTCCCAAGCTAGCCAGGACTATGTAGAAAGACAATGCAGAGCTCTAGCAGCCTCAAGCATGGCAAACACAGATGACAGGTTTTGCCCCCTCTCTTTCCCTCGTCCTTGCTAAAAACCATTACATTCCCAAAGCCAGCCCCCAAGGTCTTTTCCCTTATTTGGCCACTGATTCATTCCTGAGACTAAATACCAAGGTCCAACAATCAAAATGTATTATTTGGCTGCCCTGACTAACCTATTCAGTCTGAATTTACTAACTCACCCTAGCACAGACTTCCCCTTTATCCTTAAAAACCCACTCCTGCCAAAAAAAACGCCCACTGCTGCTGCTTGCTGTCTGCTTTGCCTGATCCAGAGGCATCACCCCCCCCCCCACACACACACTTGCCCTTCCAGGGTAAAAAATAAATCTCCTTTGTGCTGAGAACTTGGTGTCCGGATGTGTCCTGTACGTACTCCTGAGGGGCAGCCCAACCTCCCCTACAGATCCTGCAGGCCTCAAACAAAAGACAAAGCAGAGGTTGCATTTTTAAAACTTTGAAGTATAACTTAGATTCTTGAAAAGTTTGTAAACATCTTGGTGAGTTATTGCGAAGTCAACACATGAGTATCTGTGCCAAGAAATAGAACAGTGCCAGGAGCCAGGAGCTCTGCTGGGGCCTCTTACCAGCCACAGCCCCCTTCTAGTGTTGCCCTTTTTTTGAGGCAGGGTCTCCAGGCTGGACTCAGACTCACTGATTTCTGCCTCCTCCTCCTCAGGGTGCAGGGATGACAGGCATGTGCCACGTGTTTTAGTACTCCCTATTTATGTCTTTCTGAAAATGCGCATCATCTGTGTGAAAGTTAGACTCTTCCAGCACTGACAGGAGTAGTCACTAGACTAGTCAAGTGTGCAGAATTGCCTTTAGGGAAGGACTTGAAGACTTAGTGAGAGTCACAGCTGGGTGACAGGATGCCATCTTCTGGCCTTTTTCAGGCACTGACATACGTGTGGAATGCAGGCATACTTGCATACAGAGCATAGAAATAAATCTTAAAAGTCGAGGGGTCATTCCTTTGCTACATCCTCTGCTTGAGGTTTTTTTTTTTTTAACAAAGGGGGATTTCTGGAAAGAAACATTGACAAGTTTAAGGAAATAATGAACAGAAACCTTTAGAAAAGTCTGTAGAAGGAGCAGTAGTTCAGTGGCTAGCCAAATTCCCCTGAAAGAATGAATGTGGGCTAGGAAAACTCACCAGTGAGTTATTTGTTGTGTGTTTGGAGTTGGGGGGGGGTGTTCTGAGGAGCACAGTGGAGGTCATTGGGTCAATCTCTATAGTTGACTGAGTCAATATGTCATATGACTATATATATATGTGTGTGTGTGTGTGTGTGTGTGTATCCTGTTGGTTCTGATTTTCTTGAGAACCCTGGCCAATACATTATTAAAAAATAAAGAAATCTCACTGTATAGATGGCACATACTTACAGAGAACTCAGGAATCAGAGGCAGGAGGATCAGAAATAACAGGTCATTTTAGTTTATGCAGTGAGCTAAACCTGGTTTGAAATACATTAAATCCATCTGAAAAAAAGAATAATGCAAACAAAAAACAAAACGAAAAAAAAACAGCTGAGGACAGGGAGATAGATAGCCCAGTTGGTAAACACAGGGACCTGCGTTTAATTCCCAGAACCCAGCTGAAAAACCTGAGCAGGGTAATGGGTGTTCTTAATCCCAGCCCTAGGAAGGAGAGAAGGCAGATCCCTGGGACTTTGAAAGAGAAGGGGTACAAAAAAGACACAGCATCTGGGATGGCACCTGACAATGTCCCCTGACACCCACAAGCAGGTAGGTGCTCATGCACTTGCCCTCACTCAACACAAAAAGATGTATGTACATAGTTTTCTATTCATAATTATTAATGCTCGAAAGTAATTGATTTCTCCAGTGGATGACTGAATAATAAACCGTGGCACATTCAGACAGGGCAATATTCATAGAAATTACCTCTTAACCCTGATACAATGCGGAGGAACCTTAAGTGTATCATACCAGGTGAAAGAAGCCAGGTTGGAAAGCTGTGGACTGTAGGATGCCAACTGTGAGACAAATCTGAAGGAGTCTAAAGGACCAGTGTGCTCAAAAGGATATTAAATTATAGTAGAGACTATAGTCAGGGACCCTGAATTCAAGACCAGCCTGCTCTACAGAGTGCGTTCTGGACAGACAGGGCTACACAGAGAAACCCTGTCTTCAAAAACCAAAAAACCCAAAATCAAAACCAAAAAGTTAAAATTTGTGTCTGTTTATAGTGAGACAGGGTCTTGTTGTTTGGCCTAGGCTGGCCGGAAGCCCTCATTTTTCCTGTGCCCCGGGAGTGTTGGAATTATGGGAGTTGTACATATCTATATTAAGTTAATCTAAAAAAAATGATGGTCGGGTGCTGTTATGTTTTATTTGTGGACAGGATAATACTGTATAAGCCAGGGTGGCTTCATAACTATGACCATCCTTCTGCCTCAGGCATGAAGTGTTTTGTGTGTGTGTTTTTTTGTTTTGTTTTGTTTTTTTGAGACAGGGTTTCTCTGAGTATCTCTGGCTGACCTGGAACTCATGCTGTAGACCAGGCTGGCCTTGAACTCAGACATCTGCCTGCCTCTGTCTCCCAAGTGCTAGGATTAAAGACATGTACAACTACAGCCAGCTTGTTTTGTGTTTGAAAGACATGATTTCTTATAATTTAGGGTGGCTTTGAACACCTGGTCGTCCTGCTTCTGTCTCCAAAGTGCTAGAGCTCACCATGTGAGCCTCACCACATCCAGCTGCTTTGTTAGAATTTTTCCCCCATCCATTTCTGTTTTGACAGTTTTGAGTCCGTGTTTTTAAAATTCTATTGACTCAGAGACTTATTCATATAACCCGTATAAATCAAGGTGACACTACAATGTATCTGACCAAAGGTCTAGTTATGGATAGTTTATAAAGTAATAAAGATGTACATGTTCTGGTTAGTGTTGGACATGCAGCATGACTTTACTATTACATACGCTGTGTCATCTCAGGACTTTATTATTATTATTATTATTAGAGAGCAGGGTTTCTAGGTAGTGCTGACTATTCTGAAACAGTGTAGACCAGGCTGGTATATATAGAGTTTGCCTGCCTCTGCCTCTGCCTCCTGAGTGCTGGGATTAAAGGTGCGTGCTAACATGTAAGCAAGCTGAGAATGTGTAAATTTTTTCTCTGATTTGCACACCAAGCTTTGAGGTGTTGTATTTGAAGCTGACTTTGTGAGACATGTAACAGTAGAAATTGTAAGTAACAACGATCTCATCTTAGCACTCACTATTTGCATTGAAAATTTCAGTGTGCTCTATGGACCATGTGCTGCTATGGATGCCTGAAGCATTTGAGTTGCAGCTTGGGAAGACGCAGACACCTAAATGCTGGGCTGGATTAAGTGCCTGATGAGGATGGTGATTGAGCGAGTTGGGGTCAGCATGCAGTCGGTGAGTGCTCACAGTCCATCCTGAAACTCCAGACTCTTCTGTTCTCAGACTTTCCTGAGAAAAATGATACCAACTTTAACAACATTTGTATTTATTGCTTGTGTTCTGTGATTTGATTACTAATTAAATCACAGAAGTGGGTCTGTTCCCAGCATGGTGAGGTAGTAACTTTCTAGGTTATGCTCAAAACCTACTATTGTAAACTGGGTAGTGGTGGCGCATGCCTTTAATCCCAGCACTTGGGAAGTGGAGCAGGCAGATCTCTGCGAGTTCGAGGCCAGCATGGTCTACTGAAAGAGTTCCAGGACAACCAGAAGTGTTATACCAAGAAACCCTGTCTCAAAACAAAACAAAACCCCCAGAAAACAACTTATTGTAATTACATGACCTTAAAAACAATGTACTCATTAAAGAAGAAAAGGATTAAATCTATAGAAAATCACTGGTTTGGCAGTTTATAACTTTGAATGTTTTTAAGTTAATGTTAAGTATTGCAAGTAAATGATAAGAATGTTGTCCTAAAATGTGACAATGGCTAGAGAGAAAATTTAGTCTATTTAATTCTATGCATAGTTTTTTTAAAGAAAAGAAAGATAAGGTTTATTTTATAGAAGTTATGATTTTATTGTTTTTTTCTGTTTTACATATTCAAGGTCTGAGTATGTAGCCCTGATTGTCCTCGAAGTTAATGGGTAGGCCAGGCTGACTTCAGACTCAGAGATTTTCATCCCTGAATAAGAATACTTGCCAGTATAGGTAACCAGGGATTAGATGGCAGTCTGTCTGGATAGAGCAGCAATGGAATGAAGAAAGGGCAGACACATGTACAATGAAACTGAGATCAGGTGGTTAACATGCATTGTGTATTTTCTCAAGGACTTGGCATGAAAATGAGTTTGGAATTAGGCTCTACTTAGATATTGTGATTAATGATATGGATTTCTCCCCCAAAATGTTATATGTACATGTTGATTTACAAATAATTTCAGGTATATCTCTGAGACTCAAGCTATATCATATAGTTTGAAGAAAATAATAGAATACAGCTTATTTGACTAAGTATTTTCTTTCAATTAATAATATAGATTAGTTTCTAATGGTTTCCTATAGTGAGCAGAGACAGATGACAGCTTCAGATTCTAGCTTTGTACATCAACACTTCTGCAGTAACATGTCACAATGTGAAAAGGACAAATTGCTTTCCTGTTGTCTCTTCCTTGCTGTCATCACTTTCAAACACTGTTGCTAAATGTTATGGACTGTCAATACAAGGCATAGGCATGCACAAATATATAGATATAGAAAGTTGTTTTTAAGCAATTTTTGTAGATAAAACAATATATAATTTCTCCTCCTTAGAAGCGAATTGAATTGTCTGATTTATTAATTAGATCAAATGTTCTAGTAATGACAGTTTTCTCCTTGCTTTCTCATACATCTGCAACAAATCTGATGACAGTTTCTCTCTAGAGAGAGTCTGCCCTTCTGCAAACCAGAACACCGACAAGCCCAGTTCAGCCCCAAGGAAGGGGCGGAGAGGCGCTTGGGTCATGCAGCCCCCCAGTGCATAGATGGTGACTTTTCAGTACCATCTGTTCACTGTTTCTTCCCAGCCATTTACAATTTCTTCCCCACTGTGAGGGCTGTATTAAAAAACAAAAACAAACAAACAACAAAAAAACCCAACAGCATCAAAAAACCGACTTCCTGGAAGTTAGTTGTTCTTTCCTCTAGTGTCTTAACCACCTAATGGAGGCTGTGACTCTTCTTTCTAAATACTCCATTCACACTAAGCACTGGGTAATTCAGCAAGATCAGAAGAGCAACATTATGTTAGGTACAGTGTGCTTTAAAAAAAAAAGACACGAAGCAATCTGTTCTAACCTTGTAGGCAGAATCTAAACCGTTTACTTATTCCTTATAGTTGACAGCTGGATCACTGGCCTCTTCTCTGCCCTTCTTTGCCCCTGGCAGCAAGCGGGTGGGAAGATACTGGAGAGGGTTGCTCTGGAGGCTGGCGAAGCCCTGGCTCCTGACCTGGACAGGTCCTCTCTGAGTTTTCTTTGTGAACTGTTTATCGTCTTCTCTGAGCAGGAACTTGTTTCCTAGAGAGGCGGAGGTTCACTTCAGACTAGGCAATTGTCACATTATGATGCGCAGATAACGTTCCATTTCTCCTGCATCATAGTAGAGTTTTGGCTTCTTACTAAATGGGGGACTAGAGAAGAAATGACTGAGTGGTGTGGTTAGCGCTGCCCTATGGGTTTTGCTTTAGAAAGTCAAGACCTGTTAAAATGCACAAGGTAAAAAGCGTAGTGACTGTTTTATAATGACTCTATTGTTTCTTGGTTGGTGATCCTTCTGTTGTTCTGAAGAACTAACTGTGAACCTTTCTTCCTGGTCCTCACAGAACACAGACTGCTAATGGCCCTCCTTGGGGCCATTGACACTTGGCTTTAGGCTTGGGCACTTTTGCCTCTTAAATTCTTTGAGTAATAATTCATATTTTAATTGTCTGCTCACCCAAATTTCCAAGTTGTGCTATCAGTTTTATTTGCATTTATAAAGAAAAAATTTCAGGTTTTGTTGACTGAATTCTCACAGGTAAAAGTTAGTGAAACTGGGCGCATATATATTAGAAAAGCTTTTAAAAAGTTGCAGCAGAATGGGACTGATCAAGACCCCCTGAATGTGGGTGTCAGTGAGGAGGCCTAGGCAATCTATTGAGCCTTGGGTAGTAGATCAGTATTTATTCTGGGTATACAAATAGACTTTGGGTGCCCATCCAACAATGAGAGATGCACTCTCACCCTGGACTCTTGGGGGAAGGTCTAGATGAAATGACAGACTATGGACACCCCCATGGAGGGCCTCACTCTCCCTGGGGAAATTAGGGGATGTTGGGAGGGGTTGGTGGGAAGATGTGGGAGGAGGGGAGGGAAAGGGAGAGGGACCTGGAATTGACATGTGAAGCAACCTTGTTTCTAATTTAAATTTAAATTAAAAAAAAAGTTGCAGCAGATACCTGAGGGGGTACCATTTGTACCCCATAAACTGATTGCTAATATATGCTTAGAGAATGGTGTGAGATGTTTGGGTTAGTGCTCTAGCCACCACAGTAAATGGAAGCCAACTGCTGCTCATAAAGTTCCATTAGGTTAATTAGTATTCATAATTACATTAAGATATATTAGCATAATTTCATTCTTTAAATTAGAATTTTGGCTGGCCTTAAAATGGGAACTGTGTCCATTTTTATCTGATTGTGTTTATTTAGTATTAAAGGATAATAGGATGTGAAAGTTTGGATTAAGTATGATTGTTTTTTTCTTTGAAAATTGCTTCGTGCTGTATTGCACCCTGCACCCCTCTCTCTAGGCTTTCAGCTGTAGCACTCTCCGTGCCTAGGTTTTCTGTGTAACAGAAGGTCATGTTCCAAGTGTAGTTTGTGTGACTTAACATGATGTGCCTGGGCTTTGCTTACGGTGTTTTAAGTATAGTCCAGGATACTGAATTAACTCACCAGAGAGGTATCCCTCATTATGGCAGCTCCTAAAACTCACATAGCATTTTTATAAGAATTAAAGACAAGGCCCTTCAAGAAGGTACCAGTGTGACTGGATTTGTCCCCACTAACATTTGGTCTGTCACTTTTCACATAGCAACTAACATTCATGACCCCAAATCATTCCTCAAGCTTCACACTGATTTTGTATTTAATTTGAAAAGTTACCATAGCAAAGGTGGCTTACGTTTTCAAAGTCATAAATTTTTAAAGTTCTAAAATTAAAAATATGGTAAAATAGTTACAGTGGCATTTCCTCTATAGAAGCATAAGAAAATAATTTGTACTCCTAATACAATATTATGTTAAATTTGCTAGAGGATATTATTGGGCTGGTGAGACCAGCTCCACAGGCGGAGTACTTGCCCAAGGGTGACATCCTGATCTGATCCTCAGAACTCGGGGAAAGTAGCAAGAGGGGAAAGTAGCAAGAGAGGAGACCCGACTTCTCTCCACATGCAAGCCAATACACACCAACACCAAAAAACTATTCTATATTTCTATATAGTATCTTATATGAAGCTTTATCTCTTTAATACCAAGTATCTGTCTGTCTGTGTAGCTATCCTTTCAATTTTGAGTTGAGAAATACTAGCTTATTTCCTAGAACATTTAGGTTAATGTGATTAATGTGTTAGCATGCACTCAGTAGGCTAATGTTTGAGAAGTTTTGTAAATTTTTGGTTTCCCTATTTCCTTAGGTACTTTGGTCTGGAAAACCATATGGTTCATCTCGAAGTATCGTAAGGAAAATTGGTACCAACTTATCTCTGATTCAATGTCCAAGAGTTCAGTTTCAGGTACGATTTTGTTTTTCAGATTTCCATGGTAATATGTGCTTTAGAAAAGTAATGGGCAAGGTGTTTTAGAAGTACTGAATGGTTTTTGAGGCTTTCTCCTATCAATAACATTGAAATAGAGAGGATTAACAGCCAAGGTCTTTCTAATTTTAGTTCCTCTGAAGTGATTATTCCAGATCCTTAACATTTATCCTCCTTGAGAAGCCTAGGGGAAGGTTAGGAAACCTGTGATGAGACAATTGTTAATTCCCAGGTGACCTTGAACTTTTTTGGCCTTTGGGTGGTTATTTAATGTTTTGCCTTCTTTAGCTCCTCTGGTTCTAAAGAAGTTCTTTTTTTTTGTTACTGCTTTAGTTTTGTGGTTGTTAGGGGTGACCCAATGGCCTTAGGTATGCTAGGCAAATACTCTACCTTTTGTTCTTACATGTTTTTTGGGGTCAGCAAGATACCAAGCATGACGAGTTTGATTCCCAGGACCCTCGTGGTAGAAGGAGAAAAGTGACTCTTTTAAATTTGTCCTCTGATTTGCACGCGCCGCGCGCGCGCACACACACACACACACACACACACACACACACACACACACACACACACACACACACAATAAATAAATGTAAAAATCACAGGTGTCCCGTCCCCAGCAGTGTCTGTTCATCACTGTGAAGAAGAATTTGAAGGTTTGTGTTTTTGTGGATTTCTCAGTTGTATGAAGTAAAAACAAAAGAGCTGTGTATACACACTCCTGTATCCCAGTGTTTTGGAGTCTGAGGTAGGAGTGTCAGGAATTACAGGCTAGCCTGGGCTACATAATGATACCACGACCATGTTTCTCTAACAAAAATGGAAATAAAAATCAAACCCTGAATGGAAGTGTGCATTTTTTATGTTTCAACCTTAAGGACACAAACGTACAGGTGATCACAAACACTAGCATAATTTAGAATAACTTTGGTGGGAGCTGATGGTAGGCTGGTTAGTTTGAATTCCACCTTCTGCAGTTGTAATTCAGTCTTAAATATTCTGTCTGGTAATTCTGTTCCAGACTGTTTTCTTGAATTTTGAGGAGCGGTGTTTATGGAATTGGAAAAGTTCTGTAACTACACAAGTAATGAATTACATTTTTATTACAGATCACCTATAAATCTGGAAGCAAAATGGATACTTAAAGATAATGACCCCCTTTTCTCTGACAAACTGGATGTTTGTACTTTTTGCTAGGTGTTGTATTCTTCCTAGAGAGATACTAAGCAAGCAAATACATTAATAAACACAGGGTTAGAATTAGGATTAGAAATGTCTGCAAAAAAACCCCACAAAGCCATGTATGGGGAACATAAGCAGACTTACAGTAGCTAAACCATGTTAGGTGTTATAAAGTAATCCAGAGATGAATGGTTAAAAGCATGGGGGTTGATGTGGACATGTTGTATATAAATGCATAAGTCATTTTAGAGTAAGTGACCCAAGCTTGTGTGTTTTGTCTGTATAAGAAGGTTTCCTGGGGGCTGGAAAGATAACTCAGAGGTTAAGAGCACTGGCTGCTCTTCCAGAGATCATGAGTTCAATTCCCAGCAATCACATGGTGGCTCAAAACCATCTGTAATGAGATCTGGTGCCCTCTTCCCTCTTCTGATGTACAGGCAAATGTGCAAGTAGAACATTGTATACATAATAAAAAAAAAGGTGTCCCAGAAGTCAGTCTACCATGGACACCAAGCATTTAGCTGAAATCCATTTCTCAGAATTGTTTTACATTATCAGAATATTTTAAATTAGTCAAGAGTGTTGTGGTAAGATTCTAAGATATTCAGAGTTTTGAGTTACTGTTTTTCAAATTAAGGAATTCAAAACTTTAAAACTGTTGTGCCTCCTCCATTTTCTGCCTTTACTCTTTAATCTTTTCTGCTAACAGTACTTTGACAGGACAGGACCTTCCTCCAAGTTAACAGTAAGTCCTTTGTTTTCAGACGTCTCATCTCATCTGTGCATGCCCATGGCAGGGAAGTCTAAATCGTGCTTGAAGAACTTGGCCTCCAGCCCCCTTGCCAGTGCCCACTTCTCCTTGCGTTGTCCTAGAAATCACCTTTCCTGTGTCACACTTATATCACTCAATAATGGTTCTTTTCAAGAAGTTCCTGAAATGACCTTTAAAAGTCTGGGCTCGGTTTTCCTTTGTCTCTGAATTGAATTTGGCTTACGTTGGGGAACAGCTCATATTGGGAAGAATGTCAGGTCAAGGTGATAGAGACAGATGTTGACCCCCACACTGATACTTCCGTATCATTGATCAAGTGCCGTTTGTTCATATACATGACATAGTCTTGCAGCATAAGAAATATTTAATACGTCCTGGGAGGCATTATATTTTTAGTTTTTGCTTTTACGCGTTAAAAATTCTATTTGTGTGTGTGTGTGTTTCTGTGTTAGTGCATGTGTGCATGCTGTGTGGAAAACATGGAGGTCAGAGGATAACTTTCAGGAGTCTTTTTTTTGTGATTCTCAGGGATCAAACTCATATAAAATTAGAAACAATGTTTGATCCATAATTATCATCATTTATAAAACCCTGAAAATTAGATTGGGGTCCTTAAATGTGGCCTGTTTGCCCCCCTTTTTGTTTGAAGTAAGGTCTGACTGTATAGCCAAGACTGGACTTGACTCCGTGATCCTCTCTCCTTACCGCCAAGTATTGGGATCGTAAGCATACACCACTATGTGCTGACTCAGGTCTGTGTTTTCCTTCCTTCCTTCCTTCGTTCCTTCCTTCGTTCCTTCCTTCGTTCGTTCGTTCCTTCCTTCCTTCCTTCCTTCCTTCCTTCCTTCCTTCCTTCCTTCCTTCCTTCCTTCCTTCCTTCTTCCCTCCCTTCCTCCCTTTTTGAGACAAGGTCACATATCCCAGACTGGCCTCAAACTTTGTGTGTCTATGAGAGTGACCTTGGAGCTCTGACCCTTGCTTCCACTTCCGTCTGCTCCTATGTGATGCTGGGGCCCAGGACGTCCCACATGCTAGGCAAGTACAGACTGGTAAGACATCTAGCATGTATCAGATAAAATCTACTTTTCTTTAAAAAGTTATAGAATTTTCAGCCTTCCTCCAAAATAAAGCATAGCTAAAGACACGGACTTACAGGGTCTGGTGTGTGGAGCCCTGTGTTTACAGAAAGATGGTCCCAGACAGTTCCCAGTATAGGGTTTCTGATGAATGTGTTAGTAAATCTCTTTGGCCTTTTTGCTTTCTTCTTCTTTTATAAATCGAATTGTCTTGTTTGTTTCTTTGACTGGTTTCTTTTCTTCCTTTTGATGCACTGCGGACTGCACTTAGGATTTTGGCATGCTAGACAAACACTCCACAGCTGACCTAGTTCCTCAACCCCTCTTAACTTCACTTTTAGGGAGTTAATGAGCTACTCCCCAGCCCCTCTCAACTTCCCTTCTCCACATTTGTTTGGAAACTTTAAATTGTTAATCACTGACCTTCTGACGCTGACACATAATATGTGAAATGTAGCCTAAATTTAATTCAGCTAAGTTGTTTTTCCCTTAGATACATTTTAGAATACTCTCCTCACTTGAACCAAGAGATGTGTCTTCTTTTTGTTTTTGAAGACAGTCACACTGTGTAGCCATGGCAGGCCTGGTACTCACTCTGTAGACCAGGTTGGCCTTGGATTCACTGAGATGCAACTGCTTCTGCCTCCAATCGTTCTGGGTGATCTTAAATGCAGTCAGGTTGGGAATATTAACCATCACTAGCGCTAGTGCACAGATGGGCTTGACAGTGTGAACATCACATTACTAGTGCACATAGTCATTCACCACAGATGGGCGTGAACATCACCGTCACTAGTGCACACAGTACTCACCACAGGTGGGGTTTGCTTGTTGACTCTGTGCCCTCCACATTTGCTTCACTAATCTTTTCAGGAAACAGTGGCATCTTTTTTAGTTTGTTTTGGCTACTAGAGAGCTCAGCGCCTTAAGGATGCCATGAAAGTGTCCCACTGCTAAGATACATTCCTAACTCCAAATCAGATTTCTAATACTTACAATGTTAAGCTTTGGATGAGTGAAATAAGAGTTATGAAGTGAGAATTGGGTAGGGTTAAATTATAATCCAGAGGTTGTGACCAGAGCTTGGTAGCATGTGACATGACTAGTGAGCCCCTACACGGAGGCCTGCCTTGCAGCTTCTAACACAGGACTGATGGTACCTCTTTGCTTTTAGTCTTCTGTCAGAGTTTGCAGATAAAGGCCTTCTCTCTTTGTGACTTCCAGCTTACCAGCCATGCAACAGAATGGAGTCCTACCCCCGCAGGGGAGGATGTGGTGGCGTCTTTTGCTGATGTTGGATGGGTAGCTACAGAAGAAGGAGAGTGCTCCACAAGACTCAGGTTAGTCTTGTGGGTTCAAGGCTGGGGTTCAAGGCAGCGTCTGCTGTTTCCAAGGATGTACGGGAATACTTTAAGATCTGGGTTTGATAGCTTGCCTTGCTCTCTTTTTCTTGAACAGTCTTCTTTGTTCTTTGCCATTCAGGAGGTTACATGCTAGCAGGGAGGTCAGAAGAACCATCAGTTCTAGGTAAGGTAGCTACAGTAGTTATAAGAGTTTCATTGGAGCACAAGGATCCATCAGATCATAGAGAATTTGTGAACTTGGAAAATGTTTCTTAATTGTATCAAGAGGAGTTGGGGTTACATGAGGGAACAGTGTTAGAGACCTGTTCACTAGTCAGTCAATCTAAGAAAGTTACTCAGTGGGCACCAGAGAGCAGACACAGTCAGGCAGTGGACACAGGTCCACTGGAGGAGATCCTGGGGGACGTCAGGCAGTGGACACACGGGTGCACTGGAGGAGATCCCTGGGGAGGTCAGCAGTGGACACACGGGTCCACTGGAGGAGATCCCAGGAAGTCAGGCAGTGGACACACGGGTGCACTGGAGGAGATCCCTGGGGAGGTCAGCAGTGGATATGTGGGTGCACTGGAGGAGATCCCGGATGTCAGGCAGTGGACACACGGGTGCACTGGAGGAGATCCCGGGACGTCAGGCAGTGGACACACGGGTGCACTGGAGATCCCTGGGGAGGTCAGCAGTGGACACACAGGTCCACTGGAGGAGATCCCGGGACGTCAGGCAGTGGACACACGGGTGCACTGGAGGAGATCCCGGGGCGGGGGGGGGGGGGCAGGGTTACTGGTAGTATAAAGTCTACTAAGTAGGTGGAGAAAAATCCCTGCATGATGAGAGAAGTTATCTTGGCTTCTTGAGAAGTCGGTGCTGGAGCCAAATGTTGAGGGGCAGCAGGAGATAAACAGATGGGAAGGCTCCTTCAAACATTTTGACTTACTCATAAAGAGATTTGAACAAAACACCCAGATTCAGTTCCCAATGCCAAAAGCTAAGAGTCATTTGTACAGCTCTCATGCAAAAATAAAACATCGCTATCAAGTTAAGCAAAAGTTAAATTGAGTGTTGCAAAAGGGCATGACTAATACCTGTGATTAGTAATATTTGATTATTTAAAATAAGCATGGTGGCACTGGCATGTGATCCCAGGACTTGGGGGCAGAGGTTGGAGTACCCCTGAAAGCTACTGGGCCGCCTAGAGTTTTACATCCGCCAGAGCTGCTCAGTGAGTGTGACCCTTCCTCAAAAACTGAAAAAAGAAAGTCTGTGAGTACCTGTGACAGAGAAGATGTGAGGAAAGTGGTTTGAATACTGTGGCAGTCGTTTATTTTCTGTCTAAGCATAGCTGGGCTGGAGCTGACACCCAGCCCAAGCGTCATGGGGCTAACCTTGCTGAGGTCTGTGGTGTGTGCTGCTACATTACCCGCTCTCACTAAACCACTGGGCACTGCACTGGTCTGAGCACAGAAGGTGGCTGAGGCTTCACTGCCCTCGGCTGCTGTGGACTGAGTTTGCCTGTGGTATTATTAGCCCAGCCAGCCACATGTCCCCCAAACTGCTAGAGAAACTGCAAAGTGCCGCCCTTTGAGTAGCACAGGTCAGCTTCCAACTTACTGTGTAGTCCACTTAGAATCAGTGATCTCCATACCAGGGATTATGCTTGCTTCCTGTGCTCATGAAGAACTCTTCTGGTTTTGAAGTGTTCCCAGTGATTGGCAGATCAGAGCCCAAGCAGTGGCGTTTTCAATGTTGAGACTTCCACGATGTGGGTATGAGGGAGAAATGACATTAATGATTCCCTCTTCCTTCCAGTTTCTGGCATGTGGTATATTGTCCCCAAATTTCTTGTTTGATGTGTTCTGACAGATGTGGGAAATGCTGGCACCAGAGGGCAGAAGCCAGGACCTTAATGAAGGGCTCATATATTTCTGGTTTTATCTCTTGGTTATGATTAGATTATCATTTAGAAGATGAGAATTTTCTTAGTTGAAGCTGGAACAAAACGCAGGCCATCAGGAACCTTTCTGGGCTCTGTGGTGCCTCTTGATGGTGGATTAGCACCACTGTAGACAGAGAAGGAGTGGGACAGTGCTGACCTTGGCTAGAGATGCTGGCTTGTGTGGGTGTCACTCATGTCTCCTTAGCAGTCCTGTGATGGCCATCTTTATGTTTTCCTTGCAGGGCAGAGGTCAGGTCCAAGTCTCCCCATGAGGATGACCTTTCTTGCTTTGAGAAGCCCCCGAGCAGGCATGTTTCCTTACCAAACTTGTCTCAAGATGAGCCTCCCCCAAAGACAACACTGGCCAGTGAGGAAGCCTTGCAAAAGATCTCTGCACTTGAGAATGAGCTTGCTGCCCTTAGAGCTCAGATTGCCAAGATTGTGACCTTGCAGGAGCAGCAGAGTCTTGGCGCAGGTATGTGGCTCCTGTATTGGCCTGTTGTGACTACCCAACGGGAGGGTAGGACATTGTGATATATTAGTCTTCTTCAGTCCATCTAGTGCAGAACCTGATGATGATGATGATGATGTATGTGTGTGTGAGAGCGCGTGCTCCGGTGTGTGTGCGCTTGCGCTCCCGTGAGTGCATGTGCGCCTTTGTGTTTGAAAAGACAAGGGAATAATCTTGGCAAACCCTGAAATGCTTGCTGAGGTGTGCTGATGTGAATGGCTGCTTTATAGGAAGCTAAGCTCCCTCCGTCTGGTAGCCACATCTCTCAGACATGAGGACAGCCAGTGACTGTGGCTTTTTGTCTAGTGAAAGGAACCAGTTTCCGGGTGGGACGTGTGCTGAGTGGTAAGCGTCTGATATTTTACCTTGCTTTCCTGCTCGAAACTGGGTCTAACAGTACCTGTGTTAGTTACCATGTCCTGTGCCAGTAAGTGTGGAATGCACACAGCAGGTGCCTAATGGCTTCTCTTCCTCTTGTCCAGGGTAGAGATGAGATTCGGGACTTTGGATCTAATACTGTTGGTTTAATTAGTGTGCCACTTTTTTCCATGGAGAACCTTGATATCCTAGCCTGCTAGTTGGTTGGAAAGTAGTGCTTGTTTTTCCTGTTGTTTCAGTCCTGGGGAGACTTTTTTTTTTTTTAATTTAAATTAGAAACAAGCTTGCTTCACATGCCAATCCTAGCTCCCTCTCTCTCCCCTCCTGTCCCCACTCCACTCTCCAAGAAGGGTGAGGCCCTTCATGAGAGATCTGGAAAGTCTGTCATATGATCTGGGGCAGGGCCTAGGCCCTCCCCCATGTGTCCAGGTGGAGACAGCATCCCTCCACGTGGAATGGGCTCCCAAAGTCCATCTGGATGACAGGGCTAAATGCTGATTTATTGCCTGAGGCCCCAAGGGATGCTGAGGTCTCCTCACTGACACCCACATTCAGGGGGTCTGGATTAATATGGACCTGTGTCTGAGTCGTGTTGGAATGCCCATGCAGTGTGGCTTGCTGGGAAAGGTGCTTTGGGTACTGGGCACTTGAAGGTGAGGTGTGGTCTTTCAGTGGTTTGCATATCACGTTCTGACTTTCTCTTCTGTTATCTTGGAATTGTTTTCTTTACCTCCCTCTGCTGGTAGACTAGGAAAACAACATAAGTAGGAGATAACGGGACTTGGTTGAGATGTCTTAATTGTAACCTGCATACTCCCAGTAAAACTCTCAACATGTAACTGTCGCCCCAAGCCCTCATCAGTATAGTTCTGCAGCAGAAAAAGCTAACTTTGAGTTAGGTGAAACAATGAAATGTAGGCTTTTTATTTCCTTAACACTTCATTACTTTTTTGTTTGAAAATTAAGTGTAACACTGTTTTGTGGGACAAGGTTTTCCTTTGACTAGCCTGGAATTCATTATATAGATCAGGTTGGCCTTGAACTGGTGTGATGTTCCTGCTTTGTACTCCTAAGTGATGGTAGTATAGACATGTACCAAAGTACATAGCCAGTATGGTGCAAGTTTTTGTGATACCTAAATAGTCGTGCATTGTTTTGCAGTGTATTGAGAACAAATGTTTTTGAGTATAGACTGCTTTATATTTTTGCTATGAGTGATTATGCTGTGTATCACAAGCATGAGTCTGAAATCTCAAAAGCACCTTTGTTCATTTGAATGAGACTATTCCATTGGGTGAGTCTGGGCCCAGTGAAGTAGGAGTCAGATTGAGACATTTCTCAGAGTAACTGAACTGCATTGTCCTCAGAGATCTGAGGTCCCGTTTAAGGATACTGCTTTTAGGAATATAGAAGTCTGTTAAATACTTTGTTTCTTCTGTAGGTCACTTAGATTCTTCCACTGTGGCACCACCCCCTCCTCCCCCACCCCCACCCCCTCCACCTCTTCCCCCTCCCCGGCGCTCCACCAAAGTATGTCTGCAGTAGACCTGATTAAAGAGAGAAGAGAGCAAAGACTCAGTGCTGGAAAGACTTCGACTAAGAGCCACCCAAAGCCGCCGGACATGCCAAATATGCTAGAGATCCTTAAAGACATGAACAGTGTGAAGCTCCGGTCAGTCAAGAGGTGAGACCCCCCCCCCAACTCCTGCTCCTCATCTGCCTTGTAGGGCCAGAGTCCTGAGTCTCAGAACCATTTGCAGTGACTTCCACGAACCTTCAGGAAAGGTTAGTAGCTCCAACAGCTCCTCCATGGCAAGCAGCCAAGGGCAGGCAAAGGCTGTACCTTAGTCAGGGTTCTCATTTCCACCAAGGCTCATCCTCTAGACCAGGCTGGCCTCCAACTCCCAGAGATCCGCCTGCCTCTGACTCCCTCCTGAGTGCTGGGCTTAAAGGCGTGCGCCATCACTCCCTGGCTGTAAACTCATCTCTTTAAAGATACCCTATTTAAAGAAAAGGTTCCATATGTGTGTGGAGGTCAGCAGGAGCTGGTTCTTGCCTTCCATGTGAGTCTTGGAGTGTGAGCTCAGGTCATCAGTCTTGGTGGTGGGGACTTGCTGAGCCTCTCTCTAGCCTACATGTAGATTCTTTATTGTGAGTACTCAGTGGATACATGCTACTGCCCCTCTCCTGGAGCACTGACACTTTAGAGGATGAACCCGACTGTCCCAAGTGGCTCTTTATCTGATATGCACTCTCATGTTGTGCGTTCCCTCCTGCTGCTAGCAGTGGCTGGGTCACCAAGTAACTGGCGCCCACAGTATGTGAGGGACAGTCACATACTGACCTGTCCCTCTGGTTTCTGCTCCCTTCTCAAAGGTCAGAGAAAGATGTAAAGCCTAGGCCAGTGGATACTACTGACCCTGCTGCCCTCATAGCAGAGGCCCTGAAAAAGAAGTTTGCTTATCGGTATCGACACAACAGCCAAGGGGAAGTTGAAAGAGGAATTCCAAAGCCAGAATCAGAGGCCACCTCAGAGCCAGCCCTGGTGAGTATTAGCACATTTGTATTCAAGTCACCCAGGTGTGTCCCCTGATGATGCACTGGGTCCTGTTTTCTGCCTACTTGGAGATTGGAGCTAGCTGGGTGGGAAAGGTAACCCTTTTGCTTGTTTGAGACATGAATCCAGATGGGCCTTAACCTTGGTATGTAGCACAGCTGGTTTGCAGCCTATCTTACTACTGCCACCTCCATGTGCTGGGATTAAACTAGTTGTGCTCCCGTGCCCTGCTTTTGTATTTCTGCTTTGCTCACTGTAAAGTTAGTTGTTTGGAAACCCAGAATCTACAGAGAAACATAGGGAAAAAAGCAAAGTTCCCCCTGAATCTCCCTTCAGGCTTTTATTTGTATTCAAGAATAGTGAAGTAAAATTCAACCTGGTAGCATATTCATTATGACAGTGTTTGTATTCAATTTCTTAAATTTTTATTTATTTATTTTTATGTGCATGGGTGTGAGGGTTTCGGATCCCCTGGAACTGGAGTTACAGACAGTTGTGAGCTACCACGTGGGTGCTGGGAACTGGACCCCGGTCCTCTGGAAGAGCAGCCAGTGCAGCTGAGCCAGCTCTCCAAATATTAAAAGTTTCTCAAAATAAAAGAGGAGCATTTTCTCCCAGAAGCAGCCTGTGAGTTTTCCTGGTTGAGAGCTGCCATGGACTTGGAAGGTATGAGCCACGCCTCAGAGACTGAGCAGACAGCGCCAGCACTAATGCCTTTCAACCTCTTGTTTGCATGAAGATACCCGCTGACCTATCTCATGCGTCTCTTTTTTTCCCTTTTCTTTTCCAGTTTGGCCCACATATATTGAAGTCTACAGGGAAAATGAAGGCTTTAATTGAGAATGTTCCAGACTCCTAATGAACAATGGGTTCAGAAAGACTCCTGGTTCACTGTTGGCTTACAGAGCTGAGTTTGGTAGTAGAGATCACCAGTATTTAGTAAATCCCTGACTGTAGTGGTCATTGGTCTCCTTCTTAGCCTAATTAGAGGAGTGAGAATAGTGACAGCAGCAGAGTTGGTTTGGCTCTTATGAGACGGTCAGTTCTGGAGCTCTCCTTAACACACGTGTTATGACATGTTTTTAATAGGTAGCCAGGGTTCATCTTCCAGCCTTGAAAATATCTGAAGGCTTCAAAATATAGACAGGTCATTTGTGGATGTTGCTGTTCATTTTTCAATTCTTAACACTAATATCTGTGCAAATGTTTTATCTACACACATTTGGATATAAAACAGTATGTAAAAACTTGTAATGAATGGCATCAATGAGGAAAGTTATCTTCATCTTCATCTTGAGTTTGCTGGTCAGGGATGGAACAGCTGGTTTACCCTGTTACTAGAGTACAGTATTGGATATGGGAATGCCTCTAATAGGACTTACATATGTTCTCACATTTTCTTTTCCTCCCGGAGCTGAGTTTACATAAGCAGCAGAAGATGTTTACTGCTTAGTTTCCATGATGCTTTCTGTTAGAGGGACGTGAGGGCCAGGAAGGCTGCTTAAACCTCACTACTACCCAATTATTGGGTAGCAAATGTACTTCTCAAGTAGTAACAAATCAAATTACTGAATTAAATTACTTTTTAAATAAAAGTCAGAATGTATCATCTTTCTTTTCAGTTTAATGAATGAGTGGCCTCATAAAGATGATTTATTGCTAACAATTGTCTAAGTTTACTATTGCCATGATTGAACACCATGACCAAGAGCAACTTGGGGAGGAAAGGGTTTATTTCACTCACAGCTCCATATACCAGTTCATCATCAAAAGCAGTAAGGGCAGGAACTCACGCAGGAGGCAGGAGCTGAAGCAGAGACCATGGAGATGTGCTGCTCACTGGCTTGCTCAACCTGCTTTCTTATGGAACCCAGGACCACCTGTTCAGGGATGGCATCACCCACAATGGGCTGGGCCCTCTTCCATCAATTGCTAATGAAGACAATGCCTTACTTACAGCAGGATTTATGGAGGCATTCTCTCAGTTGAGGGTCCCTCCTTTCAGATGACTCTAGCTTGTGTCAAGCTCACATAGACTAGCCAGCACAATACAAAATGTCAGCATAACCAAATTTATAAATCTTAACTAGTGGTCAAAATATCCTTTATAATGGATCATTACTGACTAGGTGAATAAATTCCCTTTAAACTGTTTATCATTGGTCAGCTGATGGATTGTATTATACAGATAAACCCGAGGTGTCATTAGAAAGCTGAAGCTGCCTTTGTTATCTAGGGCTTGAAAGGACTTGTTATAATTTAAAGTACTTAGTAAGTTTTCATGATTTGTATGTAACGTCAGAATCTCTTACCATGAGTAAATATTTGGATTATTTAAATCTAGCGAGTAGTGTTCTTCCCAGGATAATTGAGATGGGAAGTGTAGATAGGTATTTTAAGTTATTGAAAATGTGTTCTAAATCTTGAAGATTAAGCTGTTTTTCAGTTTATTTAGTTTAAATTGTGATATGTTGTTGATGTATGTTGTTTCTAAATGTTTTATATGGTTTAAAAACTGTCTTTTATGAGATTCAGAAAATTCACCTGACCACATATTTTGACCTAAGAAATTTATATTTATATCAGTATTGAATTTGGCTAGTATTCCAACATATGAAAGTTACTATTTTACAATAAAGCAAGCTGTTGAATTTTCTTTTGAGTATACTATTATCTATTTGTACATTTACATCCCTTCTCTTTCCTTTGCAACTGACATTCTTTGTGTTGACATGTTGCTTTAGGATAACTTCTAATGCATTTTTAAGCAGTGATACATTCCTTAATGTACTGTGTTATCTATCATTCACTTTTCCTCTTGAGACTTGTTTTAATGCAGGAAAGCCACCCCAGGAGGCCTGAATGCAACACAGCATGCAGAAGGAAAGAGTTCTAAATGTAGATGAACTGTGCATCCGATAGCGTTGTAGTGACAATTTCACAGAGAAGTGTGAGGGAACACTAAACTTGGAGCCACACATGATGTCGGTCAAGTGAATTTATTCTGGAGCCATTGAGACCCCTGCATCAAAAAAAAAAAAAAAAAAAAAAGGTTTAAACTGTTTAAATCATTTTGAACTCCTTTCTTGAGCCTGGTTCTTGGTTCTTACTGGATATTCTCTGGAAATCCTGTAAGTAGGCCAGAGGCTTTACTGGTCTTAGTGGTACCTTGACAACAAACAGAATAACAAAAATACCATAGCAAAGTAAGGACCCAGCATCTTTTTCCGGAGGAAGCTGTTACTCCAGGACTAAGAGTTGTTCCTCTAGCCAAAAGTTCTCAGATATGGTCTTCTGATACAGTCTCTAGCTTTGTGCCTTTCTGATAGGAGCAGAACACGAGTGTAGTTTTAATATATCAGGGTTAAGGTCAGGTAGCGCTTTCCATTTCAAGCCAGGTGCTTATGATAGGGAAGCCCTGATTACTTCATGGTGAAAAGCCACAATTTAAGGACAAAGGCCACTTTTCACAAGGTTTTTTACCTAAGGTATTACATGTCTGCCTTTGTTGCTCAATGTTCATCCCTGTTTATTGACCAAATGTTTTTTATGGAAGAGTAAAAAGTTCACACCCCAGGGGATTTTATATTAGAAACCAGTATCTTAAGGTGTGTGGGGGGGGCTAAAATACAGTTAGGAAGTTATTCTGAAATACTGATGTTGGCAGCAGAGCATACAGGTTATGTGCAGACCAGAACAACGATCATGTTAACCAGATGGTTCTCGTCCTCTGCCCTCCCTGACACATGGACAGGCAACTGACTAAGCCATTATGTTCAGACTTCTCCTAGAAATCTGAATAGGAAACTTCAAGAGTATGTGGCATTTAACACCTTAAGGGTGTCATGAGGAAATGGGTAACTAGAAAGGGCTTAAACCCAGGTCTGCCATGCTGGGGACATTAATCCTAAAAACCACACTATACACAACACTGCTTCCTAAGGAGAAATTGATGCAAAGGACAGAAAACAGGAACCTCGTGCAAGGGGAAGCTCCCAGGATGGCCAAATTCCATTCCATGTCTCCTGAAGTTCAGTTCTATAAAACTGGCCTCCACTACAACACACAAATCTCTGTCTAGAGCCCCAGTTACCTGGAATGAGGTGTCCACTATAATAGAAATAAACACTTAGCCCCTTCCTGTTCTCATGATGCTTTCCAGATAGAAAATTCAGTTTCTGTTCATGTTCACTTTGTGTGACGGAGAGCCTTTTGCATGACAGACAAGAGTTCTACCATTGGGCTGTATCCTGCACCTAGGAACTTGGAGCAGTCAATAAATGTGTGTTTGTGTAATACCCTTCCCCTCATTAAAGTAATGGGGTATGTCCAAGGATGGAGACCCCATGATGGGATTAGTGTTCTTCTAGGAGTAAGAAAGTTAGCCCTTTCTCCTACTGGCCATATACAGAGTTAGCAAGTCTGCAAGCTGGGAAGGGGCCCTTCCTGGAACAGCTGTCCTGTCCAGGCACCCGATCACGCTTGTTTGCAGTCCGTGAAGTGTCTGTGCTATGGCACCTGAAGTAAACTGACAGACTTTGATGTTTCCTTCAAAACTTTACGATTTTTATAAATTTTAGATAAAAACTGAAACCATTACAGTTTTCTGAAAATTTTTATGACATATCCAAACAGTGAAGAAATACTTCAGATTTATTACACACACACACACACACACACACACACACACGGCGAGAGAGGAGGAAAGAGACAGACAGCCAGAAAGATGGGGGGAGAGCTTAAAGACAAGTACAAAATGGAATTTTTTTAAACAGAGACTACTGAATCAATTGAAAGCCACAGATTACTAAGTCAGCAGGTTTCAGTTTTAAGTCATAGCCAACAAGAAGCTGAATGTTGAAAATAATGGAGTTTCTCTTTCTCCTTCCATTCTACCAGATTCTGAAGATGGAGTCTAGGGTAACTTACAAAACTTAGGCATGAAAGTTTAAAATGCAATTGACAAAGTCAACATTTTACTCAGAATATCATTTTGAATACTTAACATTGTATTTTACAATCAAATTTGAATGCTGAGCGAGTTAGATATTAAGAGGTAAGAATGGTGTTAGTTTCGTCATTAAGCCAGTCTCTCAAGACCCTTCATACACAATTCTAAAAACTAACTACAAACATTTTCTTTCACCACAACAGTTTGAAGGAGACCCTGGCTTGTGATGCTCTAAGATTTTAACACCAGTGCCATGTTCTGCATACAACAGGAACCAGACATTATTTACTACACAACTTCAGCACCACCCAAACCACTTCTGGCAGCCAATCAATGCTCTGACAGCTAAAGGGTACACTCCACAGTAGTTTTTACCATGGTCCAGTCTATATCCATCCTACACCATGCTCACAGAAGAACTTAAGAGACCCTTTATGTTTCTGTCATCTCATCCCCGTGTGGCCCTGTGGTGGTTGGTTATCCCTCCTGAATGATGACTATGGGCCTTGGGGGTCCTCCAGTGCCACGCAGGCTCTTAGTAGAGAATGGCTGCAGACCAAATCTTCAATGTAAGTTATGTTTCAAACACACATTGGAGATGTGCTCGTTTGCACATTTCTTTAAAAGCAGTATGGATTATATTAGCTACTGGTCTCAAGACATGATAAGATTGTGACAGTTTTTAGTCTTAAGTAGGAAACAAGCATCCAAAGAGCATTGTGGAAAAAGACCATTTCTGAACCGTGAAGGCTCACTAGCACCTCGAACCTATACCTCAGGTACAGGCTGTTTTTTCTAGGTTTGCAGAGGACAAAAAATATAAATTTTGCCCTTTTTTTTTTGTTTTAATACAAAGTTTCATTACAAACCATTGTTTAAAGTACAAATATTAATGAGGAACCAGATTTGTAGTTAAGGTAGGCCTTGTTAAATTTTTTTTTAAAGCATGCCTTTAGTCCCAGCACTTGGGAGACAGAAGCAGGCAGATTTCTGTGAGTTTGAGGCCAGCCTGGTATCTAGAGTGAGTTCCAGAACAGGCTCCAAAGCTACACAAAGAAACCTTGTCTCAAAAAAGGAGAAAAAAACATTTTTTTCTCACTCCTAAAGCAGAGACCTTAGTAACCATCCCCTCTTCAGCACTGGGCCCAGACTCCCAAATGGCAGCTACAGCCTAAAAAACTCTTTGATGTGTCCAATTTATCTTGAAATGCAATGATTTTTGCACTGCTCTGTTTGCTTACTTAAAAAAAAAATGTTATCTGTTTCCCCAAACTCTTGTAGAAGAGCCAATTGTTGAAGGAAAATAAGTCAAAGCAGCAGGAGGGACAGGGAATTCCCACAGTTCTAAGAAAACAAACTTGTGATGGGTATGGGAACATCACCTAGCTTCCCTTTGAGAAGCTGTAAACAGGGACGCTATACCTTGGAAGACCAGCAGATCAGAGCAGAAGTGAACAGCCACACTGGGCAGTGCAATTGCCCAGGCAAGCTCAACAGAAAAGGAGCTGAAGGAAGTAACAGATCTAATGGAGTTACCAATCAAGCTAATGTGGAGAAGCAACTAGTGGCAGAGAACCTCTAGCATCCAGGGGAAGAGAGTACCCAGTCCACAGCTATGGAAATCAGAAGGCATCCATCCCCACAGGGAGAGGGATGCATGAGGAAACGCGTAGCATCCCTTGCTCAGAATCCTTGCTCACTGAGCAAACCAGCTGCTCCTAATTTGGCTTCTCAAGGAGATTTGCCTAAAGGGAGAGAATGATTGGTAGTTAACATTTCTCATTGCAAATTAAAATACCAAGACTGTTCTTTACAATATTAATTATCGTGAACTTGTTAAGGTGAGTTTCTCATGAGCTGAAAAACAATCTATGAGCTTACAGGAATTTTCGACCCTGGACAAGTCAAATATGCCAACATGCTGCCACTTTATGAGTGACCAGTTGGCTTTCTTCAGGTAGTGACTGTTACCCTGTATCTATGCTGTCAACAGGAGAAGCCAGACGTGGTATGGACCACTTGAAATGAGGCTAGTCTAAGTTGACATGTGGTATAAGTTTAAAACACTGTATTTCAAAGACAACAACCCACTTCAAGAAAAGGGAAAAGTATCTTTAAAAATTATTATATGCTAAAATAAAAATATTTTGGATGAAATAAGATTATTGATGTCCCATCTTTATGTAGAAAACAGGGAAATCACTCAGGTGGGTTCTATAACACTTGTACTTTCTTCTAGAAAGTAAGGACAAAAATGTTTGGCCTTAAAATTTGTACTATATCCCTTCTAGTGAATTAGGTAGGACTGGAAGGTGGAAAGGCTTGGGGAATGGTGGCACACACCTTAATCCCAGTAGCCAGGAGACAGAAGCAGTGAGACCAGTTTGAGGCCAGCCTGTCTACTGTCTACCCTTTTTTACAGCTACCTGAGCTGTCTCATAAGTTGCTTTAAAAAGGCCAATAACATAAACACAACTGGCACTTTCAGTCCTTCCAAAGGTGATTTCTTAGGCAATTCCCAACTGTGGGAATAAAATGCTACACTAGGCAAGACGGAAGAAACTGAACCAGGCCTTGCCATGCGTGCAGGGTGCAGAGAGTAAGGCCCACAGAAGCCAGAGGATGGTGTCTGCACACAGCTTGGACTGTAAAATACCCATGAGTGAATGGACGAGCCAATAGCTGACTAACCACCTAGTAACTGAGCACATGACTTCCAAAGGGTTGAGTGGTGAGGTAAAATGCAAAGATTAAAATGAGAAAAGACCGGTTTTTATTCATCAAAAGTTAACAGCAACAGGCACATGTTTAAATGAGTATGGCAAAGCCTCTTACAAAATGGCTTTACACTCAAGCTTTCTCCCAAGATGGCTGTTGCAACACACTGTAAACATAATTAATAAACAGTCCTTTACAGTAACAAGGGAAGTACAAATTAACTAAAAGCACCGTTTCTGTTAAACTAGATTACAGTTGTGCTTGCTATACATAAAACCATTGAAAAAACAAGTTACAAAAGTGGAATGTTTTGTCTAAAATTAGTCCTTAAATTTTATCCTAGAAAACATCTATTCACATCAAAAGGCCCACCAAAGCGAAACGTTTCATCAGAGGGAGGGACAAGAAAACAATGCACTTTTCAAATCAGAACGAGAAGTTTGGTCACTTAGCTTTGTGCATAGGTTAAGGCAACTGGAGCAATCCTACAGCTTTACCTCCCTTCCCCTCCCCCAAGTGTGGCTGCTCACTACAGCACATTCTAAAACAATAAATAAAAGCTTACATTTCCAATCCTTTCCCACATGGATGGACAGAACATGCACAGCCATACATGCACAAACATGCACGCAAACATACACAGTCACACAACATACCTCTCACGCACTGCAGCGAAAGGGACGTTAGTTCCCTTGATCGGAAGGACACACTTCCCCATCCCACTGTATTTCAGATTGGCAAATACCCTGAGCTGATTATGGTGTGTTAAACATTCCACCTTTTCTTGCATGTGCAGGTCAAGTGTACAGTAGTGAAAACAACATGCAGTGTCTTCACTGCAGAGTCAGGACACGGCTGGGATACTGGTGTTCCTTCCCTCCCGCCCCAAATGAAAATCTAATAGTTAAAAATATGCATTGCCAAACAGCACTGGAGCGGAACGCTTGGTGCTCCGGATAAACGCTCGCTCTCTGGTGCACAGGACAAAACAGCGAACGGGAGGCTCTGAGGGCATCCAAAAGAAAAAAGGCAAACCACGGGAGAGCTTGCATCTCCAGCTCGAGCTGTCAATCTCGGTGGTTCCTTCACAATCATGCTCCAAGGCGAGTGAGAACCAGTATTTTAGAGTGGGTTTGTAAACAATGAGTCTTGCCAGAGGCAGCAGAGGCTCGGCACTTCACATTTCTGTTTTCTCAGAGAGAACATAGTGGAAGGGGCAGATGTGCGGCTGTATCGGACAGGTTGCTGCTGAGATTCAGTTCAAGTTTCAGGGCTCAAAGGATATGGGCTTTGAAAACGTGGAGCAAATCTTCCTTGCTAATCCTCTCCGGTTCCCCTGTTGAGCTTTGTACGTTCAGGGTTTCACACAAAAGCCAGGTGCATATTGCTGTATACTCAGGTCTCATCACTAAAAAGTGGGCTCAAATGACCAACACAAGAAATCTCAGTGATAAATAATGCTGGAGTCATTTCCTTGGAAACGTCGGCCGTCAGAACCAGCTCTTCCCCTGGGGACCCATTTCACATTTCCACAGCCTTGCAGGAGGGAGTTGTCCCACTGGTTCAGGTTAGGATAACCGATTTTCCTGAGTTAATAACTGGGAGTTCAACTCAAATGCAGCATTGGCATCCTCACTGCTGGGTTGCTGTCTCTGCAGTCCCTTCCAGCTGGCCTTATTCAGCCCCACATGTCCGAGCATTGTCTGTGACAGCCTCGTGTCTGAAAACCTGGCCCACTCGGTAAATAAAGGCTCCACTAGGTAAGTCATAAAACCTTGAGAAATGGGAAAAAGCCATTAGGATATGTCTTGAATTCATCTTAAAAACATCTAGAGTTTTAATGTTCTTCAGTTCCACTCAGTATTACAGGATATTATTTTTTTGAAAGGTCTGGGGGTGTGCATGAATGTAATTTATAAATCTGGATTTCGTAAGTAACTGGGTGGGGCTCTAAGCAGAGGGGAGCTGGACAGCATTATCCAGCTTTTCCTATTTCTCTCACACCCAACTTAAGCTAACGTGTGGTGGCCATGTCACAGCTAAGGACACGAAGACAGAACACAACTCAAGGGGCATTGAGTGAGGCAACGGCAGGCCAAGAGGGGCTCACTGGTGACTGTCTCACTTCCTCAAGGATGGACTATGACACCTGGCATGTCTTCCTAGTCATGTCAGAACTCCTGAGAAGAAAGTCAGTCTAGAAATGAGGAGAGGCTAGTTTGTTTCTTTTAAAGAAAATATTAACGTGAGAACGTCACAGCCACATGTGGGTGTCCCAGAACAGTGCACATGTGGGTGTCAGTGGGCAGCTTGTAGGGGTTGGTTCTCGTCTTCCACCATGTGGGTCCGAGGGATCAAACGAGGATTTCAGGCTTGAAGGCAAGTACATTTGCCTGCTGAGCCATCTTGACAGCCCTTGTTTTGTTCTCTGAGTCTGACATACCCCACTCTATAGCTAAGGATGCCCTTGAACTTTTAATCCTTCCTCCTCCACTCTGAAAATGGGAGATTGCAGGCATGGATAGTCATGCCCAGCTAAAATCATGACTTAAAAAAAAAAAAGTATTTTCATTCATGTGTGTGTTCTGTGTGTCCTCAGAGGTGGAGGCCAGAAGAGGGTGTCAGTCCATGAAGTTGGAGGAACGTATGGGCCACCTGGAATGGGTGCTTTGAACACATCTCAGAAGAGCTGCCTGAGCCATGGAAGTTCTTTTTCTATACCAGCGAGTAATTTCCTCAGGCAAAAAGACATTGAAGGGAGCTACATGCACTACCTGCTCACCTAGCTTGCATTTTTCTTTTGCCTATATTTCGGGCATCAAAGAGGAAAATACCCATGAGAGAAATCTCACTGTTAGATTAACTGTATGCAGCTATGATCTACCAGTTATCTGTGCAGAAATGCCGAGAAAGATGCTGACCCATAGACTGGAACTACCCTTGACAAGCCCAAGGAGGCACAGCGACAGATTGCATTGAGAACCCTTGAGAATCAAGCAGATATATTAATTGTCTCATGAGTCCCACCAAGAGAAAAGCCCGTCAGCCTTAGCCACAGGAGCCAGTAGACTCCCACAGGCTCAGCACCATGCTCTCCTACAAGCTGTGTCTGTCTTCTGCATCTCTGTCTGACTCTGTAGTCAAGTCTGTCCTACGAACTAGAGTGAGCATAAGCTGAATAATTAGTTTTGAATAATTTCAAAATGAGTGGAATTTTTTTAATCAGCTGCAACTAAATGTGCATAATTACCAATCTGGATGTTGGCGATAGACTCAGTCTGACGGTCACAAAGTGGACTCACGCCCAAATGGTACTTTTTTTCTATATCTCCTAAAAATTAAGAAAAATATATTAAGATGGAACAGACCTGTTGTCTAAATCTATAATGGATACCTTCATTGTATCTGTAAATTTACTGGAAGGACACTACACAATCCTCTTGACAGGATTAAACTTAGTGCACACAGAAAGCATGCCAAATTGACATCACTATTTAAATGGATCAAATAGAGTATTGTTTCCTAGGTGTTCCTCCCAAGACTAATTCTGTCAGTATTTTCGAACATGCCACAGATGTTCTTGTGCCGCACACAGATGAAGGCCTGGAGTTACTTCAGAGCAATCTTTCTGCACAGTCAAGTTTCCAGTCTACTCTCTGTACAGTCAGGAATACACAGGGTCACTCAGTTTCCAAATATGCCCCACGGGTTACTGGTTATGCATACATGAACTATGAATAGTTGTTAAAAAGATAATGCATTTGTGCTGAAGCTCTTATCAATGCCTGGGTTCTGATTTTAGTCACACATCACTATAACCTGCCTTGGTGGAAGAACTCCTCCGTGACCTTTTCACTCCACTGCTTGCTTAACTCCCAGTTCCGACATGGGTTACAAATGTCAGCACATTTCAAGGCCATCTAGCAAACAAAATATTAAAACTGTTAGGGAAGAAAAGATCTCAGTTGTACCAAGTTTCAATATACTCCAACAATGGGAAGAACCCTGAGAAGAGAAAGGGCCACCTGGGTTCTAGCTCAGGTGTAGGGCATGTGTTTTGTGTGCTTGGGATCCAGAACCAAATAAAAATGAAAGCCAGCAAAGAGGGAAATAACGTGAAAGAAATCTCACTTGTATATTAACTTTATTTGGCCACATATGTACCAGTTATTTTGCAGAAATGCTGAGAAGGATGCTAAGCCTGTAACTGGAACTACCCTTGACAAGCCCAAGGAGGCATGGCATCATCATCAGTCATAAAGTATCAACAAACCCAGAGAGACCATCGACTCCTTGCCTCCCGTTCATGTGAGAGTTCATCAGAATAAACAGCTACTGTTGACAGGCTAAAGCCAGACGCTTCTCCAGCATGTCCTTCTGGAAGGGAGCATGCTAACAGAGGAACTTCTCTTTCCTCCCAACTTAGCCTGAAAAACTATGCTGCTACAGTGTTTCATTTTTGCTCTGACTGTGACCTGATTTACCCCGGAAACATAATCTTTGCAACAGGACTTTACCTGTAGAACCAAATGCCTATGTCTGCCATCGTCGAGGTGTAAGTCACCTCTGTCCAAGTGAGACCTAAATAGTGACAGGTACTCGTTCTGCCGACTGATGTCTGTGGCTAGTATCAGTGCCCCTATCTGAGTCTCCATCTTTTGCCTGGATTAGAGAAATAATAAAGAAGACATTTAGGACTTTCAATTAATTTTCTCCCTTAAATATTCAGAAAGCATTACAAAACCCCAATATGCCCTGACAGTTGCTTTAAACTTAACATATTTAAAAAAGTATCGTGAAGAAATGCACTTAAAAACCATTAAAATAATCAAAAGTAAAACTAAGACTTTACAGGGAAATACCACTATGTAAATATTGCAAAGGAGTATCTTTATTCTGTCAGTCAAAGTGGAATTATTTACTTAAAAGGAAGAATAGTCACTGTAACACTGGAATGCTGTTAGAGAAAATTCTGAAGACTTTCTTGTTTTCTTAGAAACCTCTGTGCGTATACCAAACTACTCTTTCTTATCTTTTGGTGCCTGGGACCTGAAAGTCAGAAGATTGAGATGGAGAGAATGCTAGCCCATTCAACTGCCCACTGAGACACTTTGGGACAGGTGCTTAACAAACTTCTAATCAAATTCCCAGCAGTTAAATCAAGGGGCCAGAGAGGTTTAGTGACAAGGCACAGACTCTTCTTCTAGAGGACCTGGGTTGATTCCCAACTCTCACATATACCACCTATATAGTAACTCCAGTTTCAGGAAGTCCCTCACTCACTCTCTCCTGGCTCTGGGGCACCAGGCACACACATGGTGAATGGATATATATGCAGGCAAAACACCCAATCACACTTAAAAAAAATGAAGTAAAATAAAAACAAAAAAACTTTAAGTCAATTATCTAAGTACATTTGAACTTTCTGGAGGGAAAATGTAATATGTTAATACAGATAGCAGACACACTGTATCATTTTAAAAACTGCCTCATGAGATAACAAGAGAAAGACACTTAAAAAAAACCCATCCTTAACAAGGCTACAGTAAGCTTAGCTTTGCGTTACCAGCAATAACAAGCTGCCGACAAGGTCAGTGAGATGGCTCGGTGGGAACAGCACTTGCCTCCCAAGCTTGATGACCCCAGAGGAAGGAGACAAATGACTGCTGAAAGCAGTGTCAGACCTCTGCATGTGTGTGCACCACAGCATACCTGTGCCTGAATGCACACGCCCACGCACGCACGAACTCACGGTCTCAAAATTTAGAAAAAAAAAACAGTAAAATCGGTTGAAACAAACACAATACTGAATCTCTAAAACAAAGTGAGGAAAGTATGAAGGCCACAATGGCAGGGGATGAGATATTTTTGCCACCACTATCGGGTTGGACTAATTTACATTAGTACTTTTAATTAGGCCACCAGAATGGCCTGCTTTAGTATTAAACTATTTTCTCTTGTTCATCTTATTTGCTATTTTGCCTGACAGCTCCACAGGTGGCCTAAGATTGTACAACTTATCGTTGTATTGGCTTTGAAGATGTTCTGAGGTCTGAAGGAATCTGGCTATGCAGTGTCTACTTTCTGTGCAATTTTTCAGGCACAGACTTGAAGCCTTTGTCAGCAAAGTATGAAAAGTTAAGTAAAATCACTAAACCACTGTTTTACATTACTCAAAAAGATGGAATATCTTCCATAAGATAAACAACCAACAAAATACTAGTGACAACTACACAACAGGCTTAAGAATTTTGATAGAACTTTCTTTGGATTTTAAGTGTATGAGTGTGTATGTGCCCAGTATGGATGTCTGCGAGCCACCTTGGGGTGCTGGGAACTGAACTCAGGTCCTCTCCAGGAACAGCAAATGCTCTTAACTGTCGAGCCCTTTCTCCAGCCCCACAATTTTGATAATTTTTAACAAAAACTGAAAACCTGAATAATAACATAATTTTCTAACCTTTATAAATGACTAACTTTATTTCCATTTGTCTTAATCCAACTTACCTGCTTTCCAATGGCAAATGTGAGAACAAACCAGATTCTCTCAACAAGCCCACTGCAGATCTCCAGTGGTGATTTTCCAGGACTGAGGTATTCTATAAAAAGGGTTTCTCTGTTACCTAACAGTCATTTCTGGACATAAAGAACCATTTGTCAGCAATATTAACTTGGTTTAAAGCTTTAGCATCCATTGGAAATTTACTTTTATTTCCTTAAAACACTAAACAGCATTGAATGCAAGATATTAAAGTGTTATTTAGTTGTGCATGTTTGTGGGTGGGTGGGCCGGTGCGTGTGTGGTGTAAGGAGCATGCATGCACACATGCATGTGTGTAGAGGCCAGTGGCTGCAAAGGAGCCATTCACATTGTTTTTTAAGAGGGTCTCTCACTATTGGCCTGGGCCTCGTGGATTAGGTGAGGCTACTCAGGTAGTGAGCTCAAGGGATCTTCTTGTCTCTTTCTCCTCAGTGCTGGGATTTTTAAGCTCATATTAAAAAAGAATAAAAACAAATTAATTCTCAATGAAACCATACTAACCTTGTATAAAGTTGCCAAATAATGGTTGGTTTTAATAAGGAAAGGCTGGTTAACACCTGGGTGATCCAGGTCATGAGTGGCAGCTGCAATTAAGCTCAGCAAGATATCCCAAGGAGTTACAGAGCTGGCAAGCTAAAGTGTAAGGAAAGAATAATTAATCACAACCCCCTGAAATACACTGTCTACCACTAGGAGCCAGTGCGGGTGGTGGGTCTCCTCCCCTGGCTGTTGAATTTTCAGGTGGATTCCTCCTTAGTGCCAGGAAGAGCCTGCCAGATAGTGGCTCAAGGGACATTGCAGTCTGCATGCTGTGATGCAGGGCACTCTGCAGCTGTGATGCATGTGCTGCTGCTCGCTATGATGACAGTGGTATTCAACTGTGGTGCAGGGCGCTGCTGCAGCTGTGACGTATGTACTATTGCACACTGGTGCAGGGCGCTGCTGCAGCTGTGACGTATGTACTATTGCACACTGGTGCAGGGCGCTGCTGCAGCTGTGACGTATGTACTATTGCACACTGTGATGCATGTGCTGCTGCAGCTGTGATGACAGTGGAACTACCTGCTGGACCACTGCTATTGCCTCACCTTCACCGCATAACTAAAAACAGTTACAATGGGAACCACTCTTCCTCAGAAACAATGACCTTAAACTGACAAAGAGGTTTGTATATTTTCATTCTATCAATGGATGGCCACAATCAGGACTGTGAAGTCATGCCAGAAAAGGCATTTCACTGATGGCAATGTAACTGCACCCTATCTAAACAACATGATAACTACAGTCAAAGTTTATTATCAGCTGACTAAAATTTTCCATAATAAAGAGCCATCTTGAGTTTATCACCGGCTCTCGTAAGGCACCCCAGGGACCCACGCTGCACCATCTCCTTGCTCTCTCCTTTGGCCCTCGCCCTCGCAAAGGATGGTGCTGTGTCCACAGCCCTTCCCATGACCTGCCACGGCCATGCTCACTTGACCACACAACCTTGTAAACTGACAGTGAAAATGTCCGAGCATAAATCACTAATACTGCTAACATACGAAAGAGACGAGCACCACAAACATTTCAATGAGAATAAATTTTGATCCAGATTTGGCTATTTCCTTCCCATGCCAGAATAAATCTTTTCTACCGAATGCCGCACGCCACTGAGTACTTTATCTAGGAAGTGACTGATTTACTGTTGGGGTGGGGTCAGGGAAACCCTTTTAGGAGTTGGTGTTTTCCTTCTGCTGTCCAAAGACTGGCTTATGAGACAGCAATTTACCATCGATCACCACACCTGCCTCGTGAGGCATCATAAGGTAGAGAATACATACAATTCCTCTTTGTATTATACAAGTTAGCATGAGTTCAATAAATATGGCAAAGTTAGTAACAAAAATGATTTCCTTTCTAGAATATGTCAAGTGTTTAAAAATTAAACTTAGAAAGCATGATATTTGTGTTAATTCTTTGAGAATTTCGTACCTGTATACAATGTGAGTTGATCATATTCACCTCCAACTCCTGCCCTTAGCTCCTCCCAGATCCACCTCTCACTTCCCCTGCAAACTTCATGTTCTCTTAAAAAAAAAAAAAAACCACACCACAGTCTAATTTGTGCTGCTCATATACTCATGAGTGTGAGGCCATCCACTGTAGTATATTCAACCTACCAGGGCCCATACCCTTAGAGGAAACTATTTCCCCTGTCCCAAGAGTCAACTGTCTAGAGCTCCTGTGTTAGGGATAGTTGTCTCTCCTGACTCCATGCTAGCATGCTGACGTGACCTAGTGTAGGTCCTGTGGAGGAAAACATGGCAGCGGTGAGTTCATCAGGATAGCATTCCTGTCATATCCACAAGACTATTTTGCCCAGGCCCTTTCTGACCTCTGGCTTTTACAGTTTATCCGTGCCCTCTTTCTCTCTGGTCCCTGAGTCTCGTACAGAAGGGACATGATATAAATATCCTATTTATGGTTGAGGACTCCACAGTACTTCTCTACACTTTGACCAGGCCGGTCTTGAACTCACTGTGTACCTAAGGATTACCCCTAACTTCTGATCCTCCTGCTCCCTCCCTCCAGGATGCTGGGATTACACATGTGTAATCCACCACGCCCAGTTTTATAAGGTATTTAGGACAGAATTTATGGCTTTCCTGCAAGATAAGCATTCTACCAGCCTAGATCCCCAGCCCTAAAATCGAACTGTAAAAATCACTAAAATAGATGAACAGAAGGTAGGCTGTAAATCAGGCAGTCTCTCCTGTGACACGGGTGAATGAGCGAGGGGCACACATCTAAGGACGGCTAAGTCATGAATGGCCATGGAGTTATAAATGTGATGACATGTCTGCTATTAGACAACACGGCAAAGTGTTATGTCCCTGTGATAAGAGTGGCGGGGGTAAAATAACAGAAGTACCTTCCTGGGAGAAAATGATAACAGATTTACTGCAAAATTAATACATGACTACACATAACTTTACAATCTCAGACAAAAAAAAAAAAAACGAAACACAGAAAGAAGCAACTGGACTTTTAAAAGTTCTGTGGGAGGGCTGAAGACAGCCTGGTGGGTAATAGCACTTGCCTCATGCCTGACAGCCTGGGTTCAATCCCTAGGACCCCTTGGGAGGAAAGAACTGACTCCTAAAAGCCGTGCTTTCACTCCTGCGCGGCAACTGTGGCGTGTTCGTGCCCCTCCCCCACAAATGAAGTCTGTGGGGGGAAATATAAAAGCAAGTCACACACTTAAAGCAGAAAAATGATTAAAAAATGTACATTTGTGTTGAAAACTTTTACTAGAAACAGAACCTGAAAGTAAGTAATTCAACGATGTGTGTGTAGATGTATGTGCACACGTGTGTCAATGTGTGGATTGCTATGGCATGCTGTGCAATTGTGAGGTCAAACTCCAGTGTTATTTCACTCACGTATGGTCATTTGAGACACAGGTCTCTGTTGTTCTTCCCAAGCACAAGCCAGGACAGCTGCCCTGCCACGTTCCAGGGACTTTCCTGCCTCCGCCTTTGGAGGAGTGCTGGGATTACAGACACTGTAGGATACAGATGCTATATATCTGACTCTTACATGGGTTCCAGGGATTCAAATCTAGGTTCTCATGCTTGGGTGGCAAGCACTAACCCACTGAACTATCCCTCCAGATGTCCTAATCTTCATCTCCATTACTGTGCTAAAACACTAACCCCAAGCAATTTGGAGAGGAAAGTGTATTTCGTCTTACTCTCCAGGCTATAGTGTACCATTAATGGAAACCGAAGCAGGAACCTAGCATAGGAGCTTGAAGCAGGAACACTAAAGGATGCTGCTTACTAGATTACTCTCAGGTGCTCTTCTTAGACAGCCCAGGCCCACCTGCCTAGGGATGGCACTCCTTATATTGGGCTGGCTCCTCCATCAGTTAGCAATTAGGAAAATGCCTCACGGACATGGCCACAGGCCAATCTGATCTGGACAATCTGCAGGTGAGGTTCCCTCACCCCACGTGATTGTGTCTGGTTGACAGTGGAAGTTCACTATGACTCTACCCATTAACACAACTGTTTAGAGTTTATGCATGTAACCCTTGAACTCTGTCCTTCTGACTCAGCCTCCCAAGTACTTACAAGCATGAACCAGCCCTTCCAGATCGAAGGAATTTTTAGAAAGACAAATGGCTGCTGACTCTAGTAATATCTGAGTTGTGTGACTAAGAAACTACAAATCTTGTAAAGTACATGAAAGTCAGCTTTCTCTTGTATCTGTCTGTAAAACTATCTTCAGGGCCCTTTTCAACACAACAGAACACTACCAAGAGGTGGCATCCTCCAGGGAGATTATGCTCTCTGGCTGTTAGCAGCAGTATGCAGATTTTCCTCTGTGACAGTCACAAGGGCCATCCTCGTTTTACTCAGTACCCAGCCTCAGCAGGCTGACATCAGTTTATACATTATATAATAACATGATCCATCAGGCCAAAATTTCTACGTCACTGACACTTCTGTCACAAGCTGCCAGCAGGGTACTTAGGACATCAATAAATGTACACCATGAGGAAAGCTGTGCATCGGTTACCAGCTCCTGACAGGCTAGGGCAAGAGGGAGCTACTCCATATGCACTTCAGTCTGGCCTAAAACTCCTGGCAACACTGCTGCCACAGCTTCTCAAATGCTGGGATTTACAGGTGCGAGCCACCACATCTGCCTTAAAGTCAGGCTCTAATATGAACTGCCAGGGACAAGAAGACCAGTGTTTAAGCACTGTTTTCAAGTGTGCTGGCACATCTCCGGCACAGGGGGAAGAGTAGCCTTCTCAGGCCTACGTCCCATAGCCCCAGGCTCTGCGTCTGCGTGTCCAACAAACTCACATGGAGGACACTTGAAAACAAAACTACATGTGTGCTGAACAGAGCCCACGAGGAGCTCAGTCAAATGCCAAATGCTCTCACAGAGCCCAGGTTTTGAGATCTCTGCTCTGGTCCTTCCACTTACAGCCACATCAGTCAGGTCTGACCTCCCCCTGACAGGGGAAGCTTCTGCATTTGAGCTGAACCACTAAGTTACAGAAATGTCACGCCAAAGAAGCTGTCTTTGCACTTTCGCCTAAGTCAGTGCCCACCGCTTACCTTGGGTTCCTTTAGGTAGCAGTGCATGGCCTGAGTAACATCTGCAGCATGGACTGCATTGTGGTAAGGGTTTTGACTGTGGTAATCTTCTTGAATCATAACTATGTTAAAAAGAAAAAACAGACTAAATTTCTACTAAACAACAGTGACAACCAAGTACTGAATATGGTATTTATGAGTGAACCACATATATCCTCCATGTGACTATCACCTCAAATTGGTCACATTTCTAAGGGATTCACCCCAATGCAGCCAGTCACCAGGCATTTCAATGCCATGCAAAAAAGAATGTGGCTGCAAGGCCAGCTGGTACGTAGCCTGTCACACAAACTGTCACCAACCCAAACGCTGCTATGTGGTACGCAGCTACAGGCTTGGATGATCCTGACTAGTTTAGCTGACTGACAGTTACACGAGTTCTTGTACAATCTTATTGTTAGATGGGTCAGAATCACTTACCTAAAAATCGACGGAGTTTCACCATATCTAAATGGAAGTACTCAATCAATCCATGAAGACTAAATAAATGAAAGGTTAAACTTACTAGACTATTTCCTAGAAAAGAAAGAGGAGAGGCCATGTTAGCAAGACGTGCAAAGCCAGACGGCTACTACCCCCAGACAGAGACTCAGACCTCGAGCCTGGAAACAGCACCCATGCCCACTGTGTTCCACAAGAGCCCTCAGGTCCTCACTCTGATAGTTATACACTCTAAGTGTTAACATCTTCATTCCAGCCTAAGGAAAACGTTTCAGTTTTCCACAAAGAACTGAATGATAAAAACTTTTTTTATGATAAAAACTTTTAAGAATTTTCACATCAATTTTTTCTTGGCGAGGGTTCGAGACAGGGTTTTTCTGTGGCTTTGGAGACTGTCCTGGAGCTAGCTCTTGTAGACCAGGCTGGTCTCAAACTCACAGAGATCTGCCTGCCTCTGCCTCCCAAGTGCTGGGATTAAAGGCGTGAGCGACCACTGCCTGGCACATCAATTTTTTTTAATACTCAATAGTAGACTATGGGAAAACTGAGCTATAGTGAAGAAGCCAATCCAACTCTACAAGCACTTCATAGAAAGGAGCTACTCATTTGGCTGCAACCCTCCGAGGTGGAAACTGTGTTTATTTTTATTGGAAAAGAACTAGGAAGGGAACAGTCACCTCCTCAAGTTCCCCAAAATAGAAGCTCTGAGCTAAACCTCTCGCCTTCTCTGTACTTGAGCAGAAAAATCTTAGAGCTAGCGGGGGATGGGCAGTACCACAGAACTTACCACGATGAAGCTGTGATGACATGGGGGACGGGGGGGTATGACAGTTTAGCACTGAGATGAAGCGAGAAACGGGCAGTATGACAGAACTTATCATGATGAAGCTATGAGCTCCGGGTGATCTTACTGTTTTGCCAGTGAAATGCCTCTGTCACCTTGTAAAGCACCTATTTCTAAGACTGCTATTCTTCAAAAAACTTTAACATGCTTATTTCCCATTTCTTTCTGAATTTTCCATAGTCTCATACCTCACAGAAAAAAATCCCTAAGCCTTTAGTTTTCCTTTCCTTGAACACTAATTCATCCCTATCTCCTCAAGGAAGGAGCCTGATCCACTGGACACGCTTCATCTCATCAATCCATGTCTTCCCTCTCGTCCTCCTGTGATGCCCAAATGAGCAGAAACACTCAGACATGCTGTACGCTCCCCTGCGTCTCTCCGTCCTCCATACACGCCACCAGTGCTCATCCTTGCTGTGTGAGCCCCCATCTCTACTATGCTTGCTTTTCCCTTCCCTGAAAAAACTCTCCAGGTTGTATATATTCTATTCTATGTCTCAGGATTTTGCAGACTCCATCTATGGGACAAATATGCTGTATGAACAGATAAATTGACTGTTTTAAAAGGGAATTAATCTCGTAAATTACTGTACCATAGATAACTAACATATATGTGATGCTAGTGTCTTTTGAAGTCTATGATTCTTGTTAAAATACATTAAAGATACAACTAATCTCACATTAAGAATTTACAATATTTGAGAGGGTTAACAAAGCATCAACCAATAACTCATTAAGCCAATGTCAACTCAGCAGAACCTACAGATGAGTACAGGTAAACATGAACACTTCTGGAGTGCTTTGGAGGCTGCAGCAGGCCACAGGGCCAAGCCACAAGAGGATCTTTAAACATAATATCACTTATTTGTGTGTGTGTGTGTGTGTGTGTGTGTGTGTGTGTGCGCGCGTGCGTGCGTGTGTGTGTGTGTGTGTGTGTGTGTGTGTGTGTGTGTGTGTGTAGAACTTTGGCAAATCAGCTCTTCCACCTTTATTGGGAATTCAATTCAGGTCACCAGGCTTTTGCTGAATCATCTTGCTGGTCCATAAGGATTCTTTTACACACACACACACACACACACACACACACACACACACACACACACACACACACACACACACGCTATGGTGTATGTGTGGGAGCTGAAGGACAACTTGTAGAAGTCATTCATGCTTTCTACTCAGGTGCGTGGACTTGGTTGCAAAGCCATCCTGGCAGCCCCAAGATTCTTTTTAAAGATGACCATATCATCTCCACATGGAAGGAAAAACAATATCCTTAAGAAACTGAATACCAATGAACCTGGCATGATGGCCAAGATCTTTAATCTCAGCACCTGGGAGAGGGAGGCAGGAAGAGATCTGTGAGTTTGAGGCCAGCCTGGCCTACATAGTAAGTTCTAGGACCAGGACTGTAGAAAAAGAGAGAACTTGTCTCAAGGTCTCAAAAAAAAAAAAAAAAAAAAAAAAAAAAGGAAAGAAAGAAAGACAACTCTATTTAGAATAAAGCTGCCACAATGAAAACATAGGCCAGCTAAGGTGTAGTGAGTGGTCCGTAGTCTACAGAAATTGACTGAGACCTGAGCTATAACATAGGCTGGCCACTCCCCGAAAACCAGAGACTCTCAGGAGCAACAAAGCTATGGCAACCCTGTACGAGGAGAGTCAGACAGTAACTGTTCTCCCCCTGGAGCAGAGGAGATGCCATGCACCTGTCCTGGGGGGGAACCCTCCCCGCTCTGTCTGCTCCTCCCTGTCTTCTCCCCTTACCCACCCAGAAAGTGCCAGAGTAAGAAATACAAAACACCATTTAATCAAATCAGAAGAAAGGACACCTGGATATGGTGAGCACAAATCATGGAATTTTGTTTCCAAAAGGAAACCATTCTGATTGCATAATGCAAGCTGAAGAACAATTTTTTCCTACCCATTTGTTCAATTACTTTTTTTCAAGCACATTATTTCTGTGGCTTCCAAGGGGCTGTCGTTAGCTTCCCCCCCAAAAGCAGAGATTGTTGTCCAACAAAGGTGCTTTTCATCTGGGCTGAGTCAATCAGCCACCTTCTCCAAAAAACCAGTTCAAATGGGGTTGTCTAAAGGAAAGGGGGTTAATAATGGGGACTGACAACAACTGTGGCTGACAGAGCATGGCTGAGCTCACTAGCTTTCCTCCTAAGGCCCAATGAGCTGGCTGTATACTTTTTAAAATTAAATTTAGAAAAGAACAACCAACTATAGCAACCAACGACAGGCGTCCCAACAGCCCCCAAACAGGCTATGAGCTATCAGTTTATACCACCAGCCTTTAAACGTGCTGTGGCTGGCATTGCTGCATCTGCCTCTCTCTCGTGATGGTAAGTGGTCATGTTTGTGTTGGGATACAAAGGAAGAGTTTCCTGAATCTTGTAGGAGGTGGGCCACCTAATAATTCACTGTCTGCATTAAAAAAAGGAAAAAAAAAATCCCACAAGGTATAGAGGAAGGCCAACAGCCTTTCCGGTAGGGCAGCCAGCTAGGCAGCAGGGAGAGTGACAGGACACCTCCCTGCCACCCAAGGGCACCAAAAGGGGGAGAGAAATGGAGAACAAAAGGCAGGTCATCAGGGCACTCTGCTGACAAAAGTGAACCCATGGTCTTCACCACGTTGCCCCTGAGTCTCATCTTCCTCCTGTCAACAGCGCCAGCCAGACAGAGGAGGTAGAGAGACTTTTCTCTGCTCCTGCTGCTTATGAAGCAACAGAGACTCGCTAAGAACTGCATGGTGCTCATAAAGTCGTGTCTTCACGCAAAGCTAAGCAAGAAAAGCAGGGCCAGGGAGACGGCTCAGTGGGCAAAGGTGCGAGCTCAACAAACTGGGCTGGAACCCCCGTCAGCAAGCGTCCGACTGCCACAAGTGCGCCCTGGCACGTGCGTACACATTCTTAGAAGAAAGAGAAGGCAGGTAACATCAGAGCTAACCAGGGAACAACAGAAAACTGACTCCTTTGTGGAATTCTATTAAAAATCTACCCAGACAGAAGAGGTAAGGATGGCTAGTGTCACCAAGAATTCCGCCAACAATTTTATTCTAAATAAAAAGGCTTTTCAAATAGAATCCACTTTTGGATTCCAAAGAGAGTAAAAAAGAAAAGGCAATGCCAACATCACATAAAACTAGGCTAAGCTTGGGGCCGGGGGGGGAGGGAGGCAGATGACAGATTAGAATGATCTGTGAGACATTTCTCCAAACCACCCTTATTCCCCAGTCTGAGTGCCCCAGCTAAGTGGCATACTCTAATCCAGCATGGGGAGGGAGGCAGGGTCAGAGGGAGCATCCCCAGAAGAGAGGAAAAAGCCTGAGGGTCAACACATTCAAGAAAGAGACCAACCGGTCAGCCACGCCTCTGGGGTAACCTTCCACGGGAGTACTGTGTCTGGAAATGGCACTGTACAAACTCACATGCTGAAGAAACTTCAAAGTCAAGACCACAATGAGATTCAGTTTGAGCTATTTAAAAAGGGCAGCAAGAACTTCCAATTGGTCAGGTCATGATGGAGGTGGCTTTTGATTACTGTCAAGACTATCGATAAAACCAAAAGCTTGTGCAATGATTTCTGTTGGCTTTTTGAAAAGTCACTAACAAGGACAAAATCCTGGCACTGGGTTCATAGCCGAAGTGAGTGAAAGCAAAGACGACCCACGCAGGCATCCACAGAGGCATCCAGTGACCTCAGTAACTCGAGCGAGTCAAATGCTTCACTTACCATTAGTTAGTCTATCAAACAGAAAGATGTCAAAGTTCCAATTTCCAACTTTGTCCAGCATACACTGCAATGAAAACCAAACATTTCTCCTGTAATTTAATCTTAGTAACATCCACCTTTTTCCTGCAGATAGTCCATAGAAAAGTTAATGGAAATAAAAAGTGGCTTATTTGCTTTGAGAAACACCAAGCATAATCTGCCTTTGTTAATTTCATTTTTCAGTTTTTACTAATTGAAAATGTGTTTATTGGAATCGTTCCCACCATAATCGGGTGCTGCTTCCTCCTGAAGGAGCATCCTCTGTCAGCCTCGCTTTCCCGCCTGGGGGCTGACAGAGGACAGTGCAGCGGCCAACACACAAGACCACCGTTAGTGCATGGCTAAAGACCATGGTGACTTCACGGCATCCGGGGCTCTCCATATCCATAAAGCAAGAACGGGGCCCTGCCCCAGCGACTCTTCTTCTGCTTCCCTTCTATTCTGGGGACCATGAAGGAGACCCTTTATAAGAGGCATGTCCTTGAAGCGGCTGTCACCCCAGGAAAAGCTATTTCCTACCTTTTGAGGCAGGGTTCCATTGTGCAGCCCAGGCTAGTCTACAACTCATGGCATTGCTCCTGCTTGAGCCTCGTGAGTGCTGGGATTACAGGCGTCTGCCACCACACTTGGCTTTCATGCTCTCTTTAGTTAAGGCGTTTCCAACTGACTCAAAAGTTGTCTACAGAGATAAACTGTATTTGAGAATGAATTATTCTGTTTTTCAGTTAATTATGTAGAGGTCAGGTCAGTCTTCTGCCCTGTTCCTATGGTCTACAAAGGGGAATTCTGAAATGATTCACCAGCATATGGCCCATATGCTGCATATTCTCAAACCAGATCTTAACAAGGAGTGACAGAGGCCACTGAGTACCCACTAACCATTGTTTTGTGTCCAATCCTCAGCTACACCGGGAAGACAGGCAAAAGTAGCTAATTTGCCCAGCTAGAGTGGAAAGCTGGGATGGTGACTGGGGAGTCCAACTTCTGGGATCTGGATCCCCACACTGAACCCACACCATACCACAATCCCATTATTTGCTGTCCACGTCTGTTTTTGATTTGTTTGGGTCTTTTGAGACAAGGCCTCACTATGTAGCTCTGGCTGTCCTGGAACTCATATGTAGACCAGTGGGAACAACAGTTCCCACTGACTTCTCAAGCAGGGAAATGCTCTTTTCTTTAAACTTCAATGTCACTTCAAAGAAGATACTGCAGGATTGATCTACTTAAGTTCAGAAAATCTGTCTATAAAACTAAAGCAAAAAATAGTTCCAAATAAATTGAAATTCAAGATTATAAAAATCCCATTTAATAAAAAAACAAACCCATTTCACTTCAATCTTAAGAAATTTCCGGTGATGTCTGTAAGAGTGAAGTAAATATTTCTTACAAACACTGGCTTCAGTTACAACGTGGCTGATGGAAGCTTCTCCCCGTGATTTTGAACCATCGGGTGAACTCCGGTCCTTATGCTGGAGACCCCAGCTTCCTGTCTATAGCATGGAGGATGAACCAGGTCAGGCCATCTCTCCTACCCTTCCCAGTGTCAAACTCTGGCCAGCTCACAGGCGACTGTCCCGCTGATCCACTTGTTACTTACTGTTATAATAAATACAAACGCATCCACTACTTTTCTCAGAAATTTTTCTTGCTACATCTACTTATAAACAGTTTCAAATCTGAAAGGCTGGCTCCACTTAGACAGGAAAAAGGGATCTAGATTAGTACTTTTGGAAGGTAGCGCCAGTAACTTATCAAGCAGCTAGAGTCTTTTTGAAGAAGTTGTACAAACCTTTGCTTGTCCATTATAATCGTCATCTAGAATGTTGAGAGAACGAGAAACTGTGGTGCCCCGAAAAAAGCGTGAGGATCTGAGATAGCGCTGGAAGCTTAGCAGCCTCCTGATGTTCCTGGCGGAGACTGATGCTTCAATTTCAGGCTGAGCTGAAAGAAAGGGAGCAGTTGTGAGTACAGGCCAACCCTGCAGTGGCTGCCTTCGCGCCTCCTGAGTTCCAGGCAGTTCTTCAAGCACACAGCACGCAGCTCTCCTTTATGTGCTGTGCGTGGGTGCTGTGCCTGCATGCACACCGGGGTGCCCAGTGCTGGAGGAGGCTATGAGAGCACTGCTTTCCTGGCACCGCGGTTAAGGGCAGTTGCGAGCCATCACGTGTCACTAGTGTAACACAAGGCCTTGCTGGAGAATAAGACTTCTGTAAGCGAACTAAAGAAGTTTCTAGAACTGTCCTGGGAGAGTTTCTAAAATACAATCTAATAAATGGTTCGGGGACTGTAAATCAATAATAAAACACTCATCACTCCAACAGAGTTGGAAATGTGCATTTTCTACTTGCTCGATCACCCTCTTACCCCCCTGGATGTCACACGCGTGTGTGCACACACACTTACATGCACACACTCACACACACACACACATACTACATATCACACAATATACATACTACACACACCACACACATACACCTATCTCTGTCTCGCTCTGTCTATCTCTGACACACACACACACACACTGTCTCTATAGTGACTAGAATTGAAGTCTTTACATTGACAACTCTGATAGAGACATTTTCTGGGGCAATGAATAAGGGTTAAGTTGGGGAGGCTACAGTCAGCTTTTCTTGCAACCTAATTAAACCTAATGCCACTGAAGAGGGAGACTTCAGGCTGAATGAATAGTAGCATAAGGATTGTGTGAAAGAGGTGGCATTCAGGAATGGGAAAGGATCCAGCACCCTTCATTTGGATAATTACTAAAAAGCTCACCCTCTGGCCAAATTATACACAACTCCAACCCTGTTACCAATACTCAGATGAGCTCGTTCTGTAGCCCCAAGTGAGTCATCATTCATTCACAGCACAAGAGACAGCAGATTAGACTTAGCTTATTAAAGCTCAGTCGTCATCAAGCTTGGACTGCTGGCTTCCCAGGCTTGTTCTGGCTGTCATGGTTAGCCACACTCTGATACAGTTTAGAGAGCCACTGGTATAGGAAGTTAGTTCATGCCATTATCAGACATGATAAAAGCACCACTACCCCATGTTGTAGCCCCAAACAGACCAACCAGCACACCAAAGCTAACAAACATGGACACTGAACCAAAAAGTAAAGCGGAGGACAGCAGGTGATTTTTACAAAAATATGATGTGTTCCCCCCTCATCATGTTAGAACGTGCCGAGGAAACACAATCCCAGGAAGAGAAAAGGGCTATAGATGGGCTACAGTGAGCTCCTGACCCTCCAGCTGATACTTCTCTACTACCTACCCAAGCCACACCCAAAAGAACACAGCTATTAGATTAGAAATGCCCTTCACAGAGGCCCTTGGCTCCTGCAACGGACCACTGCTTTAGTCATCCACAAGGGGGCGCCCTGTATCCACTGGCTCTGCACACAAATCCAGACACATTTAGGAATTACTGTGAGAAATTACTGCTCAGTTCTTCATATTTATAGCTAAGTTTTAAGGTTTTAGCTCTAGTCTAGGTTCATACTATGTTGAACAAAGACTGAATAAAAATTCTGAATACTTTCTGTATTCTAACTTTCCCTTACTCCCCCCGCGAAAAAAAGTTATGTAAAAGCCACATCTAAAAGTCTGTTATTTGTTTCTTTTGTTTGTTTGTTTTTTGTTTTTATTTTTGAGGCAGGGTTTCTCCGAGGCTTTTGGAGGCTGTCCTGGAACTAGCTCTTGTAGACCAGGCTGGCCTCAAACTCACAGAGATCCGCCTGCCTCTGCCTCCCGAGTGTTGGGATTAAAGGCGTGTGCCACCAACGCCCGGCTTGTTATTTGTTTTTTAATGAGTAAATCACATTTATCCTACATCCATGGGACAAGTTGTTTAAGAAGAATTTTTAGAATTAGCATGTACGACCAGATGGGGAAACACTGCTCTAGGTTGCTCTGAGTGATGGTCTTTAGCTGCCTGGCTGAGAATGGAGGCAGGGTGGCAGGGTGGGGAAAGACAGGCTTAGAATAAGACTCGTCCGAGTCTGAATCCTGCTCTGTTGCTAGCTCTGTGACAGGAAGCAGGCTGTTTCAAGTCTCTAACTGGTCCTCAGTTCTTTATCAGTAAAACCGGCCGCTGAGGACTGATGGCAGAGACCAAATGAGAGAGCATGCAGAACGCCTACACAGTTCTGGAAAGAAGCAAGCACGCAGTCATTATAAAGTATAAATCATGCTATGTTAAAGTGATGGTTACAAACATGAGATACTTTAAACACACACTTGACACGTTCAATTTTTAGGACCAGATTTCTTTTTCATGGTTACGTATTTAGTACTGAGAACCACAGTGTATGCAAGCACTACAGAGCTAACTGCACATTTGCAAGACTTCAGAACAGTCTCGGGACTTTAAACTGAACACCCAGTATAAGCTTTAATATGAAGATAAAGTGAGCCCCTCACAGTCTCCAAAGAGATCAGCTCCAGTAAGAATTAAACACATCACCAGTATTATCCCCTCAAGCAATCCTTACAACCCAGCCTCACAGAGCTGATGTTCATTCTGATGATTCAATGATTAAATAAGAGATGCAGACTCTTTGAGACAAGATTGTTCTTGCTATGGATTAGGTATCTTCATGTCTCAGGCGGGAACATAAGTTATTTAATGTTCAGGCCTTAAACTTAAGTATGTACACATGAGATTCTTAATTCCCTATTCATGAGCTGGGAGAGAAGAGGAAGGAAACACAGAGCTTTAGTGCCTGCGTCCTTCAAAGAATGGTTCCAAAATTGCATCAGGGTGAATTTCAACTTCCCCAGTTCTGCAGAGTGCAGAAGATCAGCTACCACAACACTGATTAAGGTCCACTCCATATCAGTCATTCTAGTTTATGCAATGAAGTTATCAAAAATGTCTTCAATACTCACTTCTGCCAAGTCTGGAACAAAGCAATGAACACCAATGGTTCTTAAATGCAGGTGTCTGAGAACATTCTGGAAACTAGAGTGACATTTCCCAATCATCTACATGGTAGTGCTCATCTCCACGAGAACCAGGGGTAAGGGACTACTACTAATAGAGTAGGAACCCGGGCCACTGGCAGGAAAAAAGGACACAGTTTGCCTGTGTGTATTCGTGTGTGTGTGTGTGTGTGTATGTGTGTACAAGTGTGTGTGTGCATGCATGTGTGTATGCATGTGTGTGTATGTGTATGTGTACGCATGTCTGTGTATGCGTGCATGTATGTGCTGTCATGTGCCATACTTGAAGGAAGTTAGTCCTCTCCTACCACCACGTGGGTCCTGGGTATTGACAAGGACCTTTACCAATACACCAATCTTGCCAGCCTTGTTTCAGGTGACAGCTCTGTGGATTCAAGAAATGCTGTCTCTGAAAGAAGCAGGTGTGATTTCAAGACAAATATGTGGGAGTCAACTAATTTAATAGAATCTTTAGACAAAGTATGGGCTGGGTCTGTAACGGCACAGCTGCAAGTACAGGCTGGATGCTCATGTCTGAGTAAGAAACTAATGACAGAATGGAGAGACACCTTAGCAGACCAATCAGTCGTCAAAACAAACTAGCTAGTGAACAGGAGGTAGTGATGGGCAGTGGGAAAGTGAAGGGGAGAGCAAAGACAGACAGACGGACAGCTAGTGAGGAAAGTGCCAGTCAAACATCGGCCCTTAAGAGGTAGAGAGAACCAGCAGCTGCTAAATACAGGGATGCTCTCCGACAGCTGCTGTGCATGGAACCAGCCCAATTCACGCTGCAAAGCTCAAGGCACACACAGACACAGATGTTTCTCATGTCATGTAAGTATGAAGCAAACAGTCTAAGCCTGATACAGCCTTGTTATGATGACAGGAAACAACCCAAAGCCAATATACCTGAGGGATTATGGGGAAGAGCTTTGTATGTTTCCACAGGCAGTTGTAATAAAGACAATGTAAAAGGCTTGAATCAAACGGACAGCAGCAAGTAGCCTGAACATGGGTGAAGCGAATAAAGATTATCTTTGGGGGACTGTCAATAAAACCCTATCACTCTAATTGGAGGAGACACATAGCTCCAGTCAATTCAATGCAATCAAAATATTTTCAGTATCTATCATGAACCAGAGCTGCTGGAGAGGAGGAACAAACAAACAAACAAACAGACAACCTAAAGCTAAGAGCTTTGAGGATGCAATGCAAATACCCTGGTTCCCCTGCTGCCCCAGCACGGGTGAAGACAGGTACTTAAGGAAACTGAACGGAGTCTGAGAGAGTGGACAAAACACATTTGTATGGGCTGAAACACCACTGTGCGGCAAGAGAAAAGAAATGAAAATAACTGCATTTGTGTAGACGTGAAACAGTAAAGAAGCAACCCATGTGTTACATCTTCCAGACGCTGCAGAAGCCACATCTTCTGTCTGCTGACGTCAATGGGCTTTGGCAAATCCCAAGGAGAGAACAGTCAAGCTGACAACTTCCATTACGATTTAACGAGCATGCCAGAGTCTAAGTAGTACAGGATTGTAACAGTATTATTTGAGGTACTAGGAAACAAAACTAGGGCCTTGTGCATGCCAGCAATAGTTCTACTAAGGAGCTACATCCTCACCTATAATTCTTAAGGAACAAAGGAAAGGATGGCTGAATTTCAAGCAAACAAAGGGTTACCTATCTGGTATATGTGTGTGTACATGCTTCTCTGCCCGCCCCCGTGTGTGTGTGTGTGTGTGTGTGTGTGTGTGTGTGTGTGTGCGTGTGTGTGTGTGTGTGTGTGTGTGTGTGTGTGTGTGTGTGTGTGTGTGTGTGTGTGTAGGCCAGACATTGAGGCCAAATGCCATTCTCAGTGGCTCTCCACTTTTCTTGTTTTATGTTTGGTAGTGGTGATGTTAAACATAGGGCCTCACACATGTGAGGCACACACTACCATTACACTACAGCCCTAGCCCTTCCGACCCTATTTTTGAGATAGGGTCT